CCTCAAGAAACTCGGTCCTGATTTGGCTCTGTGGAATATGAGAGTCGATTCTGAGCGTCGTTTACTTCAGTCCAGTACAGTGCCTTTTGTATCACCAATACAATTGTCTCTGCGAACCACCACATGTCTCGAAATACGATCCTGGAATTCAATAGGCAAAGAGGTGGTGGGGTTTGGACCGTGATCAAGAACCATTTGTCTACCAATCTTTTCTGTTTTGGAGTGATGTCATCATCATCGTCATCGCTTCGAATCTTAATCTTTTTACAACCCTTGAGAGCTTTTTGTACGAGGTGTCGCCACATCTGATTTTCGTGAACGATGAAAATTTAGCAATACTGTCTAAATATCTTCTAGCAGCGGCCACCTGGTAAGACTTAGCAATCTTTTCTGAGGAAGGACTCCAACCCAAGAAGTACTCCTCTGTTTCATCCATTATCATCTTCCTCTTGTCATTGGAGAGAGGAGAACATTCTGGTAATGTTGTAATGCGTTCTCTAAAGACTTTTGTTTTCTGAAACTTTCACCCCTTGATATGTGAAGAGGGCCCAGGGAGGCCTCACTTTCAAGTACTTATCGGCATTGGAGTGAGAAGAACCCTCTGGGTTTGTCTTTACAGGCGTCTCTGAAGTCATCTGTTCCTTCAAATTTTGACCACCCCTTGATACGTCAAGAGGGCGTGAGAGAGGACTCAAGTTCAAGTCATCCATTATCTTTAACCTCTGGCCATTGGAGTGATCAAGAACTGAATCTGTGGCATTAGGACTCATGTTCTTTACTCTTTCTTCTTCCAACTTCTCCTGTTTTCCAATTTGAATCCAGCAACGCTTGCAACTATTGCCATGTAATCCATTGGAGTCCACCAAGGTTCAGGCTTAATACCTATCACATCTTCAATCGTCACGAGCGGTTTCGCCGGAATATCTTTCCCGTCCTGCATCTCCTTCCCCGAGTCCTGCATCTTCCTCTCCGACTTGGAGTGATCAGGAACTGAATCTGTGGCACTAGGATTCATGTTCTTGACTCTCTCTTCTACCAACTTCTCCCGTTCTTCCAATTTGACTCGTACAACGCTTCCAACTCTTGCCATGAAATCCATTGGAGTCCACCAAGGTGCAGGCTTAATATGTATCACATCTTCAATCGTCACGAGCGGTTTCGCCAGAATATCTTCCCCATCCTGCATCTCCTTATCCGACTCCGAGTCCTGCATCTTCCTCTCCGACTTGCTGTAATTAACAAAACCCTAATATTTCTTTCAAGAATGTCTGGCAATGGAAGACGAAAAAATTTCGTGTTTTTAATCTGAAAAAATGCTTGGAGCTTAGAGTAAAAGAATCCGTTATAAATTCAATTTGGGATTGGAGGTGTTTTAAGAATGGCAACACGTTTTCTTTTCCAAAACCCTAAAAAAATGGGCCTAACCGGGTTAGGAAAGTTGTGTTCTATTGGTACCTAAAAATTGAGTAATCCTATTTACATCTAATTCTATGATATAATACAATGATGTGGCTTGTTAATAGAGTCTCAATAAAAAAAAAATAATTCTACGGACCATATGTCATATAATTAGGTAATTACTCGTTTCTAATTAGGCTTCACTATTGATTGCTATATATATTTCTTAGTTTTTATTTTTCTTTGTTATAGAGTGTACCATTGTACCTTGAGTCGGATTAGAGTATGTCTCTAAAGATCAGACTCAACTACTGAACTAGTTTATATCTCTCAGTTTAGAACTCCAAATAAGATTTGTAAATAACCAAACTTATTTATTTTTTGAAAAAAGTGAATCACAACTACTCATGAATAATGCCACTTACAATTAATAAGAAGATCCAAACATGTTATATAATTTATGACCCATCTAATATTATCAAACATTACCAATCAAACGAGAATAAATAATTAAGTTAATAGTTTAAATCAAATAATTAGATTCAATTAACATTATTAGATACGAAGGGATTAATCGATTTTTGTGTTTCAATAGATAAAAATTTTAATCGAGATCTAAAAATAGATTTGTAGTGAAAGAGTGATTTGTAGGCAAATAAGACATGTCTTCGATTATTTAGGAGGAATTCTTGGAATTCACATCTTTTTCAACAACATTGTTCTTCGAGTTCCTGTATGAGAGGAACTATTATAATGAAGTTACGAAAGTTATTCGCATGATTGCTTCGCCCTAATTTTAGGGTCCGTTTGTTTAGTAAGAAAATGATAACAAATGTAAGAAAGAGAAATTTTTAAAATTTTTTATGTGTTTGGTTAGTATAAAATAGAAAATAATGGAAAAAATAATTTTCTTTTATACTTGAATTTTCTCACAATTAACAACCTTTTTTTCCTGTAAAAAACACACGTATGTAAATGCAAGAAAGTTTTGATATATAACTAACTTCCCATTTTACCATTTATTTTTTTAAAATATTTTATTGGTTATTAATTTTAAAAAATATTGATATGAATTTGATTAGCCATATAATTTGGTTCAAAAACTTTTGTGTTAGTGCTTGTCCTATAATTAAGTTACGAGCCACTTTTTTTAAAAAAAATTTAAATTTAAATTATAATACATATTTTTTTAGACCGATTTATTATAATTAAGGATAATTTAAATAATTAAAAAAAATTTCTTATAACTTTCATTTCTTTTAAATAATAGAATGAATTTTTTTTAAACTTTCTCACAAGTTTTTTTTATCATAATCAAATACATGCGTTGAAATATATTTTTTATCATTTTTTTTTCTTTTACTTTATTTTTATTATTTTTACTTTTCTTCATTCGTTTCTTTCTAACCAAACAGACTATAGAATTTTGCAAGGCTTAAGAAATCGGATCCAATTAGAAGACTATCAAAAATTCAAAATTTTGATCTTATCATGGGAAAACAAGGGTTTATAGATATTGTGTATATTATAAATAAGTTACATAGTGGATATTGTTATCTTGCGTTTTGACATGATTGTAAAATTAAGTTAGTTCCATTGCCCGGAATGATAAGAAAACTCCAACTAACTCAATCTTCTTCCCCACTCAAAGACTAAACAAAGCCACTCAATTTGCATTGCAGAATCTTGATGGGCTAAACAAGATGGGCCAAATCAGACCCATCTGGTAACCCAAATTGCTATGCCCTAATTGGCCCATAGGTTAGCCTGACATTGACCATATACATTGGCTGGAGAAAATTATCACCACAGGTTAGCCAACATTGACCATATATAAAAACGGTTACGCCATGTCAGTAATATTATATAGTATAATCGTTTTGATTAATCATCAAAATTATTATTTTATTATATTTAATAATTGATTAATTTTATATTATTTTTGATTAAATATGTTGAATTCCTTGATTTTTTAGTTTGATATTTTTTCTAGTTGTTTAGTTTATTTTGTAGGTAAATTGGTTGATTTAAAGTAATAATGGATAATGCATGAATTAATCACTAGAGGAAGAATCGCATTTGATAAGGATTAAAGAGTCAATATTAAGATAGGAAGACTTGAAGATATGACAACAATTTAATCTTTGAGTTCAAGATGGAAGAAAACTCATTTAAAGTTGGATTAGGAAAGTATCCTAAAAGAATAAAGATTTGACACGTTTTCAGTATTCTGGTTATAACTTTTGACTCTGATATCCGATTTACTTGATTTTTGGGGGCTGGAAAGAAGACTCCAAGGGCTACAAAAGTATATTTCATGAAAATTTCGTGATTTAGGCTCTAAATATGCAAAATTCAAACTCAAAGTTTGGATAGATTTTGTATCCGCGCCCTAAAGATTTTATGCACCGGATTTAACCTTACAAAACTTCTCTTGGAAAAAAATTCCTTCCAAGCCAACATTATTTCTTCTACTTATACTTAGAATTTATTTTTAGTATAAATAAGGGTTTTCATTTAGGATTTAGAGGATGATTATTTTCCCATCTTTTCTTTTTTAGTTTTAGTTTGTCATGTTTGGCTAGAAGGCTAAGCTATGACTAGGGGAGAACTTCTTAATGAAGTACAGTAATGTTATTGATTCTGAGTTTAATAATTTATGATATTTTGTTAATTTAACCTCTGATCTTATAGCAAAGTTTTTATTTTGTAAAAATCTTTGAGTTGTTGTGTCATGTACATCAATTGCTTGAATTTTTCTGTGAGTAAATAACTGATTATTCTATGCTTGAAGTAATTATCATTATTTCATAAAATAATATAATTGGATGATTATTCAGGTTCCTAAATAATCTTTTGATTATAACTTTTGGTTTTCTTACTAGATTTGTTATTCGAATCAACTGACATCTGATTTTTGTTTCAAGTTAAGTTTTGAATCCTTAATCATTATTGTATGGAATTGAGAGGGAGTAACTGATGTTCTAGTATTTTTATTATATTGTTTGAATTACTCCAATCAATATTTTCTCAACTCAACAATCTCTTAAATAAATTATTCTTACAAGTTTACTTTTTATTTGTGTTTGTGTCTCTTGTTTTTCCAATTCCTTGTGGTTCGACCTCGATCTCCCGAAAAATTTATTACTTCGCACAACCTGTATTTTAGTGATCAATTCTAAAGTTGTAGCACGTCCAATAATAAGTGGACAAATGAGCGAGTGAGTCATCACAGAATTAAGTAACCACATATATATGTAATATGTAACCACCTCATGTGAGCAACATTATTCATTTTTTGATTTTTTTTATTAGACGAGTGCACTATATGATATTGTTAAAATAGTATAACAGTTATATTGGATATGAAAATCGTTGTACTCTTTTTAAACCCGTAATAGTTGTACAGAGTACTCCGACATAGGCAACTAGTCGGTGGATATATTCAAATCTGATATAAATCGGACTTTTTCAGTTACTAGTTGGTGTACACGTGATTTATTTTGAGTATTTAATATTTGCATATACTGTTTAATAGGACAACTCGAAGCACTTTATACTTTTGAAGCTTCAAACTATAACCCTGAAAACTTTCTAATTTGACCTCTTTGTTCTTCTATAACTTTAAGTGCATGTTTGTTTTAAGTATTGCGTATGAGATTAAGAAATGTATTCCTTATATTTCTAATACTAATAGAAATTGGTACTACTAATAAAAGTTATTTCAATCTCCTCTCATATTTGTTTGTTCAATAGGTACTATAGTAGGTCTCACAAACAACCATCACATCTTATATAACAAATATACAATTTTATCATTAACAACATCCATTCTATTACTCCGTTTGTGTAAGACTTTTGCATAATGTTTGATATAATACATGGTATGACAATCCATAACTCAAAAATTTTGAATAATGTAAAAATTTTACATAAAAAATAAAGAATATCTAATGCTATAAATCAGTGACACTGTAAAAAAAAATTGATGACGCTGGCTTAATCATAATATAATATAAGGAAAAAATTAAAAAAAAAAACTGATGACACAGTACACTTAAACATAATACAAGGAAACAATTCAAAATAATTTTTAAAAAAAAAAATCGGTGACATCGTACGCTTAAACATAATATAAAGAAAAAATTTAAAATATTTTTAAAAAAAAATCGGTGACACTGTATGCTTAAATATAATATAAGGAAAAAATTTAAAATAATTTTTTTTAAAAAAATTATTTAAAAAAAAACCGGTGACACTTTACACTTAAACATAATACAAGAAAAAAATTCAAAATAAATTTTCTATATGTGATGTCTACACAGGAGGATAATTGTGTCATTTTTCTTGCTTATTTCATCGGTAGATTTATACCAGCAAATAATACCATCTTGTAGGTGATATTCATTAAAGCCATGTATAAAAGTTAAAAGGTTACTGTAAAAATCGGGTCGGTATTATAACCCGAAAAATAGTACTGCACATAAAATATCAACCAAACAAAAGAATAGGTGGATCTCAATTACTATTTCTTGCTATCTCATCCTATAATACCACTAAAACTTGCAAGACAGACCTACTAATAAACATCCTTCGCTGCTTCCAGTTCAGAAATACTTATGGGAAGATGGCAAATGTAAATATCTTTTTGGTAACTCATGATCATTTCTGCTCAGGATTCCATCATTTTTTACGTATTAAAAATTTCTCGGGCAACTTAGATAGTTCATCCTATTTAGATATTCTAATGAAAAAAACTCAAATACTCAAACACAATCATCTCAAAAATCATACTTGAGTACTTCAAATGTTTTTTGCCAATCTGTCTAGAATAGAATATCTCCTATTTGAATCAATTACGTGGACCACAGATTAGTTGTCATTAAAAAAATTGAGAAAATTATACAAATTGAACCAAATTAAAAGATTAGAAGAATGAATAGAGATAAATTTGGGTTGACTCAAATTAAAAGCTACGATCATAAGGATATGCATAATATAATTGGCAAATGTATCCATATTATTCACAATGAAGTTAGCACAAGCACTTGATTTGTTTCAAACTCATATAGTACATCTGCATACAATATTTATATTAAAAAAAATTTCCAAAAAAAAAAATGGTAGATTGAAATACATGCCCTCTGCTGAGGATTGATTCCAACACCATATGAATATAAATAAATAAGTAAATTTAGAACAAAAAAAAAATTGGTTAATTTGAATAAACAAACTCCTTTCTGAATTTCATATTCGACATTTTCAATTTTCTAATTTAATTCACTAAAATAATAGAAACAAGAATACTGTAACCTAGCTCATATAGCAAACCAATGTACAATTAATCCAAAATTCAGGATTCCCAAATCCATGATATCATTTAAAACCTAAAACAACATTGTATGTAAATTCACATATACACAAAAATGATATTAGCTACACTAAAATATTCATAATATATATACACATGACGGGCATGTTGGTACCATATGGTAATGATAGCGCTAATCTTGGGAGGGAATTTGCCATGAAGCTCCATTTGGAATGTAAAACCCAAAAAATTCATGTGGAATAAAAAAATTAAATTGTGAAAAATGAGACAAATGGTTCAAAAAATTTAAAATAGTAGTAGCATTATACTTTGGAGGGTAGCTTCGAATCGGAAGTGAGACTATGAGAGTGACCTTGAACGACACCTCTCTACCACCACCTCACCATTGAGCTCTCTGAGTTCTTTATTCTTCGTAACTGTGTAAAGGAGTGGTGCTCTAGAAATCTAAAAGATATAGAACAATTATGTTGGGTAAACAGTAGTTAAGTCATTTTTATCCTTAATCAATAATAATTGTTTAAACCTTTTGTCTTCCATTCTAGAAGCTAATCTCCTTAATTAATTATAATTGTTTTAACCTTTTGTCTGCCGTGCTAGAACCAATTAGCTGATCTTTCTATATAGGGAAATACTATGGTCTGACTTAATAATAGCAATTGAATATGTACTCATAGAATGAAAAGAGTCTAAGATGAACGGAGCATGAAAGATGGAATGGCACTATATAGAATTGGTATCGTCTATGAGTAATAATTATAAATATTAAACAATTATTTATCATGGATAAAATTGTTGTTTTAGGAATAATAGAGGTTATAATAGGAAAATAAAAAAATTTCAAGCTTAGTGACATTTAAAAGTAGTATAAATGATGCGAAAATTTCAACCCAACATTCTCAATTTTGGATTAGGCTTCAAGTGTCCCATGCCAATACATATTCCCTTCATTAAAAATTACAGTACAAAGCCCCTGGACGTTAAAAAAAACTTGGAGAAAATCTAAAGTACAGTCCAGTTGACATTTGGTCACTGGATGAACTATACTCCGTTTTTTACGCAGTTCGAACCTATGACAGTAATTAATGTAATCATTACCATTACACCAATACATCCTCGAAGGAGATTGTAATGGACAAATTAAAAAACTACTCAACCAAACTTGAATTGATATTTAATAAATAAGGTGGAGAAGTGTTGCTCTAAAAATTTGTTGCAATCGATAAAAATATCTCAATTGATGAATAGTTTTTAGACGATTATTTGTAAGTGGTTCAAATCGTTTCTTTCAAGACTTATTTGGATGAGAAATAATAATAAACAAACACACAACACATGAAACAAATAAAAAAATATTTTTTTATTAATTCAATCAAAGAGATTTTGGTTACAAAAAAGACTGAATAAACAGCCTTGATGACAACAATAACTGCCTCCAAAAAACTAATCTAAAACTCCCCATAAAAATGTTTGAATCGTTAGTTTTGTGAGAATTTATTTGCATCGATGGTTACTGACGGATAAACTTTTTCGGATAAACTAATCTAGATTGCTAAATGTCAATACATTAAATATTCCTGAATATTAATATTTTATGTCTGAACAAGAAGTCTATAAAGTTTCTAACTGTCTATATGAGTAAAACATGTTTTATTACAAGACGCAATCATCGATTATTTTATCCTCCTTGGAGCTATACATCATGTTTTTTGTTTGACTAGCGGACAGTTGGAGTCATTTAGCCACATGAGAATGGACGATCTCTCACCATCAACCCATTATATTAATTTTCGGTGCAAATTCTTCAAACTTTCTCCCTAACTTTTGTGGAAAACAAAGCTTCAAGCCCTAATTAAAACTCCCTAGCTAGCTTGCAGAGTGGATTGGTTGAATTTCGTTGGAGGCCTGGAGAGAACTATTCAGGTTTTGTTATTCATATGTCAAAAGCGGTTTAGGTTTTGCGCATTGTATTAAATTAAACCACTTACTCCATCACTTATGCAGTCTTGTCAATTCTTTTGAATTGCAATCTTACGACTCACTTTAAAAAAGTTTGAGTTATGATCAGAACTCAGACGAAATTGTCAATACTAAAAAGTAAATATCACTTAACTCTGTTCGGAATATTTTGCTAGAAAAAGACAAATCTTTAGAAAAAAAAATTTGATTTGACACTTTTCTTGTTTAAGATCGCTCGTATAATAATATACCTACTAACTTATGGTTATATATAGATATCAAGATGCATATATCCCTCTCTAAAAATAGTCACTAAATGCGCCTTTTCTTTTAAACACCGATTAAAAATTTGATAAAATTTATTTTTATTTCCGAAAATTAGTTAAAAGAAGTGTTACCAATAAGTGATTATATATATATATATATATATATATATATATATATATATATACCCTTTTTAGGTGCCATATATCCTAAAATTAGCATCACGAGGACTCCTATAATTAATTAAACAATTATAGATTAAATGGTAGATCCTAATAAATACTGAGATTCCCAATAAAATAATGACAGTGATCGATTAAGTCCACATTTTAAGTTCACTTTTTAAGCTCATGTAGCGGTGCTCAACAAACTTTTCTTTGGGAATCTCTATCACCATAATATGATAGCTCCTTATGAAATTCACAGTTTGGTCAGAGACGAACTAACTGTTTTCTTCTCTTTCTTTCTATTTTAATCCCCTGATCAGGTCTTGATCGTAGTTAGAAAGATAGATGTTAGAAAACGAAAGCTCCCCAACCTTTGAATGAAAATGTTTTCCTTGTTGCTATATAACTGGTTACATACTTACGTTTATGTCTGCAAGCAAAAAAACAAAATCCAACAGTGAAGAGATTGCCTCAAAGTCGTCTATAATCAGCATCAAGTCGCTGTTTAGATTTCTACACCGAGCTTGGTGGTCGTTTATGGCCATAGCAGCTTATAGGCTATATATAAGCTTGGTGGTCCCACTAATTAATTACCACAATATGTAAATGGGGACGCACTCATATACTTATATTCTTGATGAGTTATGTATTATAGAAAAAAATTAAAGGGTAGTGTACCAAAGGGGATTTGCATTCGACCCACTTTTGGTTTTTTTTTTTTTTTTTTGTTATTAAAAATAATGGTCAGGAATGATCAGATATAACAGCCAGGAGAAGAGGATATGAATGGAACAAAGTATTCTTGTTTTGCTAGACATTGTTTCAACCATGTAATTAGTTAATTACATGATTTTACTACTACTATTGTAAGACAAAATATTAGATCCTTTCCCAAAGAGAAGACACGTCTGGACGTTGATGAACTAAAGGGGATTTGAATTCGACCCCAATTTGATTAATTTTTTTTTTTGCTACTAAAAAGGATGGTAGGAGCGATCTCATGTTGCACCTAAGAGAAGGGATATGAATGGAACCATGAATGGAACTAAAGGGTAGTGAACTAAATGGGATTTGAATTCGGCCCACTTTAATATTTTTTTTTTCCCTATTATAATGGATGGTCAGGAGCGATAACATGTAACACCAAGGAGAAGAGGATATGAATGGAACCACGTATTGTTGTTTTGCTAGACATTTGTTTGGATCAAGTAATTAGCTAATTACCTGATTTTACTACTACTATTGTAAGATTGACAAAAATTACATCGTTTCCCAAGGGAAGACACGGCGCTGATGAACGATGGTACCGAATCACATTGACTTCTCTTTTGCTTGCTTTTCCTTCTTTCTTTCTTTGCCTGTTTCTCAAACTCAACTATAACATCACTTCTATCTCAAAGCTCCAAGCACTTCTCTCTCTCTCTCTCTCTCTCTACTATTGTTTCACTCATCTCCACTACTACGTTTACTGGATCTATAGGTTATATTATATAGAAGTTTGTGAATAGTATGGGGAAAAAACTGTGCGTTGAGGACAAAAATAGATTGAAGAAAGGCCAGTGGACTGTGGAGGAAGATCAAAAACTGATTGATTATATACAGAAACATGGGCATGGGAAATGGAAGACAGTTTCAAAGGATGCTGGTATATATGCTAATTATCTATGCTTCTGTTATGCAGCTTGTGCTTTTGTATTGGTATGCTGATATAGAATTATTGGTGGTTTAATGCTTTATTTAGTAGTAATAAGCTGTGATCATCTTTCATGTGGGATTATATAGGGCTTAAAAGATGTGGGAAAAGTTGCAGACTTAGATGGACAAACTACTTGAGACCAGACATCAAGAGAGGAAGATTCACTTTAGAAGAAGAAGAGACCATACTACAACTACATGCTATTTTGGGAAACAAGTGAGGACATTCATTCGTATTCTTTTTCTTTTCCCAAGTAATCGAGGGAAAAAGAGTTTCCACAGTACCAAAAAATATCATATCGAAATTCAATCACTTGTTCAAATTACAAGTCAAATAAGTTAAATAATGACTTAATATTATCATGTAAGATCGACTGAAATTTTTTGAATCTCATTGAGTTGTAACTTTTAAATTTTTTCGGCATAGTGCTAAGTCTAGAGATCTCTAACTGTGATATGCTTTCCTAAAACTAGAGAGTACACCCAGAGTGCAAATAAAGCATTACTCTACAGAGTGGGATATTTCTTGTTTTGCTTAATTTGTGTCTCTATGATGCTCTAGGTTCATTGAATTCCATGTTTTTTTCTTCTTATTTTAGCCATGATAGCCTTTTTTCAAATTTCCACTATGTATCAGATGGTCAGCCATAGCTGCTCGTTTACCAGGAAGAACCGACAACGAAATAAAGAATTATTGGAACACACACATTAGAAAAAGGCTTCTCAGAATGGGTATTGATCCTGTGACTCATGCCCCTCGCCTTTGTCCTCTTGAGATATACTCCATTCTGAATTCAACCCTCTACAACCTACCTCCCGTTCATACCCGAAATGTGTTAGGGATCGAATCTACACTAAATCTTGAAGAATTTCAACCTTTTCAAGTAAACCAAATTCATGGTTCAGTCCAAGAAGTTCAAGCTTGTGTAGCCACCACTTCTAGTGCTCCTTTGTTAGATGATACCCTTATCATGCAAGCCAATGTGGGGCAATTCTATCCACGGGCCGCCAGCTACGGTTGCAGAAGTTCTCTACCAAACTTGTACCGAAACGACGACGATCAGTCTTCTTGTATTGGTCTGGGATTTGTAGAGTTTCGGGCGGCAGAATATTACTACAATAACTATAATAAATCCTTGCTTGAGCTACAATCTGAAAACCAAATGTTTCAGTACTCCAACGAAGGTACTCCAAGGTACAGTTTTGGCTCAGTATTATCAACACCTTCATCTGGCTCAAGTTCAACTGCCTTCAACTTGTCTGCTACAACTAGCTACGTCAATGGCAGCAATGAAGAGGAGAGAGAAAGCTACTGCAGAAACATGTTGTTCAATGTCCCATATAACTTGGACGTCGATGGAATTATCAAAGGAAACATGAACTCCGGCTGAAGTAGCAACATTTTGATACCTATTCTATCTTCAATCTCATGAAAGTTAATATTTTTTTGGGTTTGGTTTGAATTTTGAATTGGTTCTACCACTGAAACTACTACTCTTGTATTATTCTGTTATTTTTATTATGCTGAAAGAATAATTTATGAGTAAAGATGTGGATACAAAAACGTTTATTAAGTTTTATGAATCACATTAGAAAAAAAAAAAAAAAAGAAGATTAAAACTACATTAATTTGGTGCAGGGGCAGAGCTAGAATTATAGTTTAGAGGAGGCAAACATAAATAAGAAAATTACCAACTAATTAAAAAGAGTCGAATTTACTTATAAGAAATATGGATAGATTCATGATTAATTTTTATATGGGTCACAAGTTTTTTTTTAAATATCAAGAATCATCTATAAGTAATTGTATGATAAACTTTTTAAGAGTTTTCTTTTAATGAATACAAATAGTTGTGATAAAATCGTTACTCATTTTGTTACAATCTTGAGATCATCTTCTATCGTATTGAGAAATTAATTCGTTAAGCACAACTTTAGGTAAGGGAATTTTGCTGTTCGCTTCTAACCTTGTTAACGTACCGAAAAAAGTTTATAGACTTTTTGTAAATAATCTATTCTCTTTTTGATAAATAATTTAATAAGTGTTAACAGTTTTAGGATGCGAAAGCCGTCAATGTGGAAAAAGAAAACCCTTAAAAAAATGTGAAAAGGAAACATAGGAAATTAGGAATTGGAGCTACATCTTTGAATCATGTTAATTTTATATGTATTGTTCTAATTTTAACAAATGCCCCAAAGAGAAATCGAGATTGAGACTAATCCCTAGCTTTCCTTCAAAATCTCGTGCACACCCAAGTTTTATATTAATTTTTTCTCACTTAAATGATTTATTACAGTCACCACCGTCAAATAAGCAGGTCCTAATAACATTCAACGATGGTAAATTAGGACCGATAAAATCTCGTACTATTTGGTGAGAGAAATTTAGTATGAAAAAATTCTGATAAGATTGACATTAGTGTTTTGTTAATTTCTTTGGTCGGTAAGTATGAAAAAGAAATAATTAATTCAATTTTATTTTTTCTTTCTTTTGAATGCTTGCACAGCAACAAAGCATATTGTAAGTTTCTTCGTTTTTTTTTTTTTTTTCCTTTTTTTATCTTTCTGCACAAGAGTATCACATGTGTACAACTCTTGAAGTGTAGATGTTTCAAAGCCCATATACAACTTGCACAGAAAAGGCCCAAATAAAATCAGCAGATAAGGCCCATCATCTGAGACTTTACCAATCCCCTCCACCGTCTAGGCCCACTCTTATTCGTCGGAAGTCCACCCCAGCCCCAACACACACGCACGCACGCACGCACAGATACCAGTCACTTAGCTGCCATGCGCCACCCCTGTACCAGTGACGGTGCGAGGTTTTTGGGACAGATCGATCGGCGGCGATAATGGTGCTTGGATGTTCGGGTGAAAATGCAATCTACAGGTATCGCACGCCACCTGCGCATCATATATTGCAGCGCTCCTGATTGATATGGCCATTTCAAGGTCTGTACTTCTTCCTCGTCTCTTTTCTTGGGTTTTACGCTCGTTTCTCTTCGAATTTTCATAGATTTCTAATTCCTGTATTGATCTTGCACGTTATGTTTGGCTATTGCAGCTAAAAATACTAAGGTTTTACCCCAATTTTGTGAATTAGGGCCTTGTTTTATGGTATAGCAATGTTTGCAATTTGGATATACCTTTTAGGATTTATTTCCCAGACACTAGGTAGATTCACCTTAGCTGCTTCACTCCGATGGTTATTGCTGTGAGGAAACTAATGGCTAAACTTTTCGGACCATAATAATGAAAAGTTTCGACATTGCTGTTCTTTTATTGTTCAAGCTTATTTCTCTATGTTCTGTGACGAAAGTTTTCTGAATGCAGATTCTTGTCATTTGGCAATGTTAGGTGGGTTGCACAGCCCCTTCTTCCACTGCCACAGAACATTTGTTCAGAAATAAACAATAATGGCACATCATTTGCCTTTGCTCTCCGTTACTTCGTGTACAGATTGTATTCACAATACAAATTTTCTAACGGAGGACCTGCTTCACATACTTTATGGGAAGCAAAGGAGAGCTTGTTGAAAATTAGAGGGTCTAAGAATATATATGTCCTAGCTGCAAGTAATAAAATTTCACACCACGCTCAAATTGCCTGGAAAAGGCTTTCTCAGATTTGTTCATACAATGGACCTGTTCTACCACCAATAAGTAGGTTTGCTTGTGCAGTGAGCATTGCAATGACTCGATCGCAGCTGCTAGCTCCTGGTATTTTTGCCTTTGTCATTGGGGAGCTAGCTGTGACACGAAGAACATGGGCAGAAGCAGAAGGCTTACCAATGGGGAATACTCTGTACATGAATGCACAAGACGGGCATGTTTTCTTGACTTCTTTTGTGTTCTCACTTTTTGAGGGTTTGATATTGTTTCTCAGAGCTATATATCTTGCAATTTTATTCTCACCCTGCATAGCCATGGCTCCTTTCGCCGATTCCTTTGGCGTTGAGTTTAGGAAGGCATGGCTTAATGTTGTTCATCGTACATTCGAAAAGGCTGGCCCGGCGTTTATTAAATGGGGTCAGTGGGCAGCGACAAGGCCAGATCTCTTTCCCAGTGATCTGTGCTCTGAGCTCGCCAAACTTCACTCAAAAGCACCATCCCATGGGTATGCCTATACGAGACGAAGTATTGAAAAGGCATTTGGCCGCAAGTTACATGAGATTTTTGAATATTTTGAAGAGGAGCCTGTAGCATCTGGGAGTGTTGCCCAAGTTCATCGAGCTACTTTAAAATTTAGATATCCCGGGCAGAAGATTAATCCGATTCTTGTTGCTGTCAAGGTTAGACATCCAGGTGTTGGTGAAGCTATTAGACGGGATTTTGTATTAATAAATCTGTTTGCCAAAGTTTCGAAGTTCATCTCCACATTGAAATGGTTGAGACTTGATGAAAGCATACAACAGTTTGCTGTGTTCATGATGTCTCAAGTTGATCTCGCTAGAGAGGCAGCAAACCTGAGCCGTTTTATCTACAATTTCCGTCGATGGAAGGATGTCTCATTTCCAAAACCTCTATATCCCTTGGTGCATCCTGCTGTTTTAGTGGAAAGTTATGAGCATGGTGAAAGTATTTTACACTATGTTGATGAGCTTGAGGGACACGAGTACATCAAAAGTGCCCTTGCTCACATTGGGACTCACGCTCTTCTAAAGATGCTTCTGGTAAGATATTGGGAAGTTTGAAACTTTTTTCTCATGGGGTCTTTATGAGTTAAAGGATTTATATATTCCAGTAATTATGTTCTAGTAAATATGTTGAAGAGCTTGTCCATTATCCAGTCTATATTCTTTGGTTATTCTAACACTGTATCTTGATTTCCAGGTTGACAATTTTATCCATGCAGACATGCATCCAGGAAATATTCTTGTTAGAGTATCTCAGAAAAATGGTTCACATAAAGGGCTGTTTAAGTCCAGGCCTCATGTCATTTTCCTTGATGTAGGCATGACTGCTGAACTTTCTAAGAAGGATCGAGTCAATCTAGTTGAGTTCTTTAAGGCTGTGGCACTTCGAGACGGTCGCACTGCAGCAGAGTGCACACTAAGGCTATCAAAACAACAAAACTGCCCAAACCCAGAGGCTTTCATTGAGGTGATTTGCAAGCCCTTGTATTTATTTTCTTTACAATAATTTTTTCAAAGAAAATTTATTTTTGGTGAATTGTGGCCCAACATCAAGTTTTTCTTCATTTACCTGTCCCCAGGGACTTGCAAGTTCTTCAACAGGTTGAAGATGTCTCCTAAAATTACAAAATTGCAGATGATTATACTTTCTTTAAACAAAATCTTTTACTATGTTTTTTCCTAGTAGTGATGTGGCGGAAGAATTGCTCTGAACGCATCACAAGAATTGAATCTGAAGGCATCACAAGAAACCAGCTATACTCATAGATCATCTTTGGTTTTTCTTTAAATTTAGATAATCAACCTCTTTGCGATGTTGACTTGAGGTACTAGGTTTGTGAAAATTAGGAAGACAAAGTACATCAGAAGAGATTGGATAAGAAATCCAACCAATATAGGAATAAAAACAGAAAAGCAAAGAAAAAAGAAAAGGAAATATAAATCACATCCTGCTTGAATAGCAAAAAGCTTCACTTCTGCTTGTCCACATTGCCTTTTGCAAACAATTGTAAATAAGCCATGGTCAACTGCGAAGGTGCTTAGCTTCTTCCCTATTCGAGGCACTCCTTGACCGTTCCCCCTACTCAACCATGGCATCCAGTTGATGGTGATTTCTGAATTCTTTATGTTTATGTTAGGCAGACATGTTTTACATTGCTATAGAAATATTGCGTGTGCTTGAGTTGTGTATTTGATTGCAGAACCAGGCCCAATTCTAGCCGGCTTTCATCCCTTGAATCATGGAGTTTTCTTCCTATCAGTTGGTTTATTTTTCACTTACAAGGAATGTTGCTATCTTCAACAGGAAGTAGAAAAGACTTTTAACTTATGGGGTTCTGGAGAAGGTGATTTCGTTCATGCTGCTGAGTGCATGCAACAAATGCTTGAGCAAGTTAGGCGTCATAGAGTAAACATTGATGGCAATGTTTGCACTGTGATGGTAACCACTTTGGTGTTGGAGGTAATTTCTGCCTGCCTTTTAATTAACTGTTGTTAGCTGTCATACCCACTAAAGATAAAAATTATGATGGTAGAGAATGACTTTTTTCTTTTACTATTGGGTCATGTGTTTGTTCTAATGAATAATAGAAGAGAATTATCACATTCTGGTCATATTTTGGTGCCTTTCTGATTTTCTTTGTAGGGGTGGCAGCGGAAACTAGATCCAGAGTATGATGTATTGCACACACTGCAAACATTGCTGTTCAAAGTTGACTTGGCTGAGTCTCTCTCCTATACAATCGAAGGACTCATGGCCCCATGAAGGTGCCCTACCTATGTATTCTTTCTCAAACAATTTTGACAAAGTAGTTTTTAGAACAAGAAAAAAAAAATCAAACTTACTGTTCTGAAAAATAAGGATGCACATAGCAGTCCTGAGAGAAAAGAGTGGCCTCTCCTTTCAAACTCGTCATTCTTTCCTAAGGTGCTTCCGCAAAAAGGTGCCAATTTTCAGTTTTTTTATTTGTTACTTTTTCTTAGTTATTATAAACTGTTGGCTTTATCCTCGGTGTTGCTGCATAATGTATTATATAAGATAAAAGATCAACTTAATGAAATAGTGGGTATTCTTCTCCTTCCAGAATGTTGTTGGCCTGTTTGCTTTAACTCATGTATATGTAACCCAAGGGTAACTCTAAGAGATAACAATGATGAGCTGTAAATCTAGATGTTCCGAATTTAAATCTTGACAATTTTTTGAGGTCAGGTCATGAGAGATTTATCTCATAAATATCCCCGTTATTGACTATTTTATTTTTTTTAGCTACAGGGTGTCTAGTTTTTCGTTGATTATTCTCCCGAGGTCGAATATTGGGCACGGTAGCCCGAGTAGATGTAGAACATGTCTCCTGAGATACAAGGTGGACTGGCCCTTTGGGGATATATAAAGTGTTGATGTTAAGACCTCTAGATCAACTAATGGACTACCTGTTATACCTTAAGCTTAACTTATTATTACACTCTCGAGAAAGATGAAATTCTTGAATAAGAATGGTTTCTCGGTATGAAGGCTTAAAATATTACTTGAAATAATTTTAATGTTGTCATCCACAATGCCATAGGTACTTGAAAATTTTTCACGGACTAAAAGTGTTTTGAGGTTTGGCATATGATTCTGTTTGAAAGAAAAAATCGAAGTCATGAAAAAAAAAAAAAAAACTAATTTTGAAGGAGAGGCTTTAAGCCCATCATGGAAATTCATCTGAACTGAAATCTGATTCATTCCACGAAACGAACATTGTCTTCCCATTGTCTACATCGGCATGCACCGGAGCCAAGGACTGCTCCACAGCAAAATTAGGAGCAAGGATTAAAATTTCATTCTAATACATTGGTTTAGTTACACTTAGAGACGAGTTTCAGAAATCCTACGAAAGCGGAAAATTTTTAAAAAAATTTGTTGAAAGATACCGAAACATCTCAAAACACTTGGAAACAAAGAAATTTTAATATTTTCATGTATTCATTTCAGTTTTCATTGAAACGGAAACCATTCTGCTGTTTGGGCACTTTTGAAACAAAATTTTAATCGCGGAGTTGGTCACTACCCTGCGGAAACAGAGAAGGGATGGCTTCAAAGGATTGTTGGCAGGACATTGCTTACCAGAGGAGCAGGGCCTCCAACACACCCTCCTCCCAGCCAAGATGGGTGCAGACAGCATTAACACCATAGGGGTGTGTGTTTAGCCTCAAAGGGTTTGGGTCCTAGATGACTTGACTGACCAGGATAATAAATGAATCGATAGAAAACTAACTTAAACACGACTTATATGCAATACAAACTCTTCTATACAAGATTGTATGTTGATTCGTGTGCAATGGGCTCAAATCCAAATTAGGCACTACGAGAGAAATATTCTGGTTTTATCCAATGCTATAAGAATACTTCACATGTGGTTCACATAGGATTAGTGTGAAAATAAACCGAGTTGAGTTAAGTTGAGTTGAGTCGAGTGAATAATAATTTACTTGAGCTTAATTTAAAGTTTAAATGAACTTCAAATAAAATTTAGAGGTTTTAGATTCAATCTCTTTCTACACTCTTTAAAATTTAGTCACTCTTGTCCTTTTAAAAACATGCTCTAACATAGCTCAAGTTACGATAGCTAACCACTGAGCTCGAAGGAGTAATCGGTACAAGTCTGAACATTGCGTAGCAAAAAAAAAAAAAATCCCGAAGAAACTAGATTAAATTCAAAACATGCTCAAACTAATACTACTGGTGATCTTTAAAAAGTTTTTAATGAGTTGAACTCGGATAACTTGACTCGTTCACAACACTTCATGAACTCAGTTCTTAATTCGCTCGTGCCAGTGAATCAATTCACTTGGCTCTCGCACCGAGTACACGTCAGCTCGACCAGTATTTGTAACTGCCGAATCTTGAATTAGTTTCTAACAAACTAACAAGTACCCGCCTTGCTCTAGAGAGAGTGAGAGTGAAAGAGAGAAGGCGGGAGAGTTTTAGAGATAGAAGAACTTCTAGTCTTCTACTACATATATATAAAAATGACTCTGAATTCTCATTCATCACCATTCTCAATTCACATTCTTTCTTAGCAAAAAACGAAAACTCTGTAACTGCAAGCAAATACACAAGGAAGAACATGGCTGAAGAAAAGGCAATAAATCCATATGATGATGTTCTTAACATGATTGAGCAACGATGTGAATACAGAGTGTACTGAACACTTAGATGTAGTTGAATTTCAAAGCTCTCAGGAATAAGATTTTAGGATAAGTGGGTGATTGCACAGAGTGTTTGTAATGGTTCACCAGTTTAGAAGCTCGACTAATCTATCTTCAAAGGAATCTCTTGCCCCTGAATATACCGATTGCTATGGAGTTTAAAGAGAGTATTTTGGTGATGTTGCTATCACTTGCTTTTTTATTTCAAGGAGTTTGTCTCTTATTTATTGTTATCTTTGTGCCTAGCTTGATCTGAGGGGAGATTCTCGCCTCTCCACTGCAACGGTCGACTATATTGTGTAATGACCGTAGCAGATTCGCACATATTGAGTAACTATCACCACAAGGAGAGGTACTTGGTGGGATCTAGCTGTCTTTTGCACTGCCTTTCTCAAAACGCAGTTAAAATCTAAGATCGAGATCTGTAATTTATAAGGTGAGTTGAAAGCTCAACCCGAGTAACATGACCTAAACATCCAAGTTCAACCTTAGGTTTTTTAGGTATCATTACCGTACAATCTCTACTATAACTTAATTCCTCAAAACGGTCTCCCATATCACAAACTCTTCGCCACCGAAACAGAATTCATTGGTGTCTTCAGACTACTTGCAGAAGAACAACATTGTCAAGTGTCGTCGATATCGCACTAGCGAGAATTACAGTGTTTTTAAAATGGTCCTGAAAAGTTTGGTCCTCAAAATGGTGACATCTATTCCAATCAAAATAGGATTTATACCATACAACAACACAGCTGAATCCTGTTGAATCTTTTTGTCTCTCCCAGCCCGGACAACTAAATCCTGTTGAAACTTTGATATGCAATTTAATGAGAATAAACAAAATGTATTCCAGTTGCTGTTCTTGAAGCATCTGGTGTAGATGAAGCAGCTAATAAAGAGAAGGTTTAGCAACTCATAAATCCCAGTTGCTCTCCCACTGCTGTAACCTGTCAATTCTTTCAACTGCCGAGTCTGTCGAAGAACGACACGTACCCCATGTCCATGGGAGGGTTTTCTAAAAAAACCCCCACCTTTAGATTTTAATAACATTATTTTATTGAAAGAGTAGTGTTATATATCTTAAATTTATAATTCAAATTTGTATTCTAAATAAAGGAAAATTATTTGATCAATAAGTCTTATCAATTTTTTTAAATGAGACCTACTGATCTAACGATACTCCTTAATTTAATATACAAATTTAAATTACAAATATAGAATCCATATCATTACACTTATTGAAAAGGCCCACCTCCTGTCCTCGTAGATGTGAGCTACATAATGACCACACAAAGTAGAGAGGTACCGATGCGGCTCACAAGGCCATAAGTAGTCTTGTCGATCATATTGAGTGAGATAAATACATGTTGAATATAAACGAATTTATGACAAAAAAATATCTTTTTTATATTTAATTTATTTATTAATTCGTATTTAACGAATTATATCGCATTTCGTTTATATCGTGTATGAATTGTGTAAAACTAATATATATATATATATATCGCATCATATATTTTTTCTGATTAATTTCACTTATACACGATTTTTTTTATTAATTGTGTTTTGTCGAGTTTATTTGTTTAATAAACAAATGATTTAAAGAAGATACAAAATTTTTAACTTTATATTATATTCGTGTCACGTTAGCACGTCCGTGTTTTATTTTGACATTTCTGACCACAATCCCAATAACAATGTTAAAAGAAAAATAAACCATCATGCAACTTGTCTGTGTGAAAAACTACAACTACGTCATCAAGCAAGCTGGCGCGGGGGGGGGGGGGGGGGGGAATGTAATTTTGGTAGCAGAGAGTATTGGGTGACAGTAGCAAGAGCATTTATCAAGTGTACAAAGAAAAGAAAAATATAGAAAGTTGTAAGAAAACTAACTTCTTCCCCCATCACGTAGTGCAGCGTTATCAACAAGCATAGTGCTAAGTGTAGTGTTATGCCTTCCAGCAATGTCTTTTACTGAGAAAAAAGGCATCAGAGTATGAACTATTCAACTTTTTCGAACTCGTCCTCTCCCTCTCCTCTCCGTAATAGTTGTCTACAAAAAAAAAAAAAAAATTAGTTCATGGTTAAAAGTCATCCTTTTGTTTCTATTTAGAGTAGGCTAAAGCCATTTTTATATATCAAAAAATTACGTAATATGGGTTAATTCCATATATTGGTTAATTTCATACCAATACTTATTAAGAGAATTAAAGAAAAAATGCAATGATCGGAAATAGCGATGCAAAATTTCAAGATATTGTTGGAAGCAAAGTGGTACCGAAAACGCACTTTGAAGTGAACATTACGATTCTTTTTGTAAAATAAATTAGATGAATTACCCACAAAAGATTTTAATACATTGTACCTAAAATTTCATTTACAAGCCAATATCAAGATCTAAATCTGAATTTTCTATAAAAGGGCAAAAAAAATAAACAAGAATAGATATAGGAGATTGTGCAAATCCCTAAAAATAATGGGAGACAGTCATAATCCTCTCAAAAAAAAAGGACTAAAATGGATTGTATTTGGATATATATAGAAAAAGCATTCTTTTTTTCCGTTAAAAATAGGAACACAAATATCTTTATGTAGTCACAATTACTCTCTGCGTTGTATGCATTATTTAGGACAGTTGAATTAAAACGTGGTTGGAACTGAGCATTGAAATATTTATTTTTTATAAATATTTTAATCTCAACGTGAATGACCTATTTTTAATCGAATGGGATTGAATTGAGTAGGAGATTAGGTAAGGTATATATATGTTTGTCTAAACACTCTAATCTTGCATGAATACCTTCGTTTTGATATGGATAACTTATTTTTAACCATAATTTAAGTACGCATAAATTAATTCGGACATCCGTTGACGTTAAAAAAAAAAAAAATCTAAATGCAGTTAGTAGAAGAGCGGCAAAGCCGGCCCCTGATTTCGAAACGCCACCAAAACACACAAAATAACAAACAAGCACCACGTTCCTTCGATTTCTCTCATATACTCTCTGTTTCTCTCCCCCCTTAAACCTAAATACACTCCCCACGAACGACCCTTTTGTTTCTCTCTCTTCAAAAACCTTGCACGCGATGAAGAACAGAGGGAGGAACAAGTTGTTCAGCTGTTTCAGACAGGTCGCCGACGATGACAGTTCTGTGAAACGGAACGGTCACGGCGGGTCAGATGATCAGGTTCTGAATTACATAGTGATCGGAGGAGGAGGGAACAAAGGGAGTGTGTTGGTTCCGAAGGTTTGGAATTCTATGTGTGAAGAGAAGTCGGAGGAATCGTTGGATGGAGATGTCGCCGGTGCCGGAAAGAGAAGTACGAAGAAAAGGCTTCACCGGAGTTTCTCTCGTGTTCTTAAAGCCGTTCTGTTTGACACGTCTTTGGTATGTTTTTCTTTCTTTTTTTTTTCGATTCTCAATCATTATTGTATGTGATTTGTGGTGTTTTGAGCAAATTGAATGAGGGTGACTAGCAAATTTTAATTTTTTATGTTGCTCTGTTTCTATATTGGTAAATTTGATGATAGGATTGTCCTTACAGTGTCGATTGGTTATTCAGAGTCATCACCCATTTGCTTGTTCATCTTTTATCTTCTTCTTCTTTTTTTGGGACCAGTTTCATATTTTTCGTTTTATTATTGAAATTGGGTTGATGGGTACACTATTTTTTGTTCTTTCAATATTACTGTACATTTTTTGTTTGTTGTATAATTGTTAGATTGTTGATATGAAAATGACACATTGATACTTTCTCGTCAAATACAGTAATGCTGTTCCTTTTCAATTTCATTTGACTTTTCTTTTGTCCGATGAATGGGTTGATCTTTGTAAAATTCATTTGTTTCATTATTTTTTTCCTAAAAAAAAATGGTTTACTCTGTTTTGATCAACAGGCAATGGAGATTCGCAACAGAAAGTCTAGGAAAAACCTATTTGGAATCAAAAGTAACCAATCTTCAAAAAGGGAAAAGATATCAAACTCAATAAAGGAAAAACCAACCTCGAAACAATCCTCAGATGTCAATGATTTGCTTAGAATGGATTCAAGCTCTTCGTCTTTGGAGTTTTCATCATCGACAATAACTTCATCTTCATTCTCCTCCTCGTGTACTTCTTCTTCCATAACTTCAAATTCAAGGTCTTTCATAGCAAATTCGATGGATATAAAACAAGGGTACAAACAGACATCAACCATTACGAAGAAAACACGTGATTGTGGTCATTATTTTAGTTCAAACATTGGACTGTGTTTGATACTTGTATGTTTGCTGGTTTTGATTTTCTGGGGAAGGACATGTGCTATACTTTGTACGTCGACGTGGCTTTTCTTTGCTCGTCGGGGGATCAACGGAATTGTTTCACCGGAAAAAGAAATTGACTGGGAGGAGCATAAGAAGAGGGTCATCATGGAAGGACTTTTGGAGAGGAATCGTAGTCGGGTTCTATAACCCAAACACGGGTTAAAATTCTCTCCAGTATCATTTTCCCTTCAAAAACGATCACATACAAATTGATCAAAATCAAATGAATTCTCCTCGCATAAATGATTGGATTGAAAACTTCCTGTTTGGTGTAAAGTGTAAAACACAAAGACCGTGGTGTCTCTATATTTACAACTCCACCTTCTTCTTTTTTTTTCTCTTTTGAAGGGGCTACGAAAAACACTCTCCTTGTTTGTTGTAAATTTTCGTTATTACATAAAAAAATATTCTATTCCCATACTTCATTATCCCCTATCAAACGCAGTGTTAGGATGTTTTAATTGTTCTAATTTTGCTCCTTAGCACTTGTAGAAAAATAACAATGCTATGTTGATCAAGATCTCTTACCAAATTTTTCATTTCAAGTAATATAACATAATTTTTGTTATTAAATATTAATAAGATATATTTATTTGATCGTAAAAACTGGGTTACATCACTTAAAATAAAAAAAAAAATTGATAATAAAACTTGTTCCGCATATAAATGTTGAAATATGCCCTAAAAATAATAGAATAACACAGATTCTGAGGACTTTGGGTTAAAAAGGGGAAATATCACTTCACTCATTTGCCATCCACTCCTTTGAAGGTCACCGATTGTCTTTATGTATATTGATGAATTTAAAATGTTTAGCTGGGAGTGTGACAAATGTTCATCTATTCAAAGAATATGTAGCAAGTTTTTTTATAAACGAATGACTCATTTACTCGATACCAGCTTGTATGAAATGAATTTTGAGTCTCCTTTAATTTAATAAATTATCACATGAAGAAATGAGTGACACGAGAAAATTCAATTGAATTGGCCTCACAAACAACAAATTCACAAAAAAATGAGCTTAAATAAGTTGAAATATTAATTTGACAATTAAGTCATTGGGCCAATAATATTTTTGTATCGTTTTTATATTACAAAGTGTTGAATTTTTTCGAGAAAAAAAGAGTAGGAGTAAAGAAGAGTATCCAACAACTATTTCAATAAACTTTCACCAATAAAATTGTTAAACCCCTTAAAACGCCAAGATGAAAAGTAAGAACGGTATCTCACAAGACTACCCTAATTAATAGTAAGTGTTGAATTTTGTTAAGAAACAACATGGTTGGATAATAAGTGTGGATAATGTGGTGGCTGGTCTGCACTACCAGATGATCTAACTTTTGAAATATACACCCTATATAACCCACCCGGTGGGAAAAACGAAGTGGAATTTTTTTGTTCAAAAATGAAACGTGGACGGCAGGATTCGAACCTGCGCGGGCAGAGCCCACATGATTTCTAGTCATGCCCGATAACCACTCCGGCACGTCCACCCACTGTACCTATCTGGCCTTTTTGTAATAGTTTCTACACTACAAAATTAAGGTACATACTTTCTACTTTTTACACTTCCAAATCAATGGATACCTCTTTCCCACTGCTACTTCATTCCTGACTTTTTTTTTTTTTTTTTTTGATCTCCCTATTTCATATTCATTCCCCCACCTTGCTTGTTAACACTGACTTACTGCTCTCTAATTATACTATAAGAAAATCCTGTTTTAAAACCTTCCAGTTAGATCCAGGACAAAACCTCAAATTATTTACTAATCATTTGTTTCACTCGTAGAAACCCACCTTTGGTTGTTAGAATTTGTCTCAAACTCTGTAGAACGAGAGTTTGTTAGAATTAATGTGAGAATCCTAAAAGGTATTCCACCCACCTTTCAGGACTTGGTTTCAACTTCTCCATAAAAGAAATAGTATACATGGAATAGGAAATATAAATATCAAGTCATACATGAATATGTTTCAATTACAGTATTTTATGCTAATAAATAAGGGGCGTGTATTATATAATCAGTTATTAGATGATTAATTTTTTAATGAATAATACATTGATATATGTTTTGATTCGTAGATATAGATAGGGTGTATCAAAGTGGGTATGCTATATCGAATTACGTTATATCTTTGTGTCATGTTTTTATTGTTTTTTAATCTTTTAATAAATATTATTTGTATTAATCATCTACTGTATAAAACTAACAATGATAATATTGGGCTTACTTGAAGATAAATATATGGAAAATTTGAAAGTCGGTCCCCCTTATATAGATTTGTTTGGACTTAAGTCCGTCAAGAAAATTTATTTGTTATGAAGTCCGTTTTTTGTCAATTTTACCATATTATTCATTTCCTTTAGAAGTGAAATAAAATTAAAAATTCTAAAATCTTAAGATTTTGATTATCATTAAAATCTTTTCTCTCTTATATCTATCTATATCTATATATAGGTTAAGAGTTTGACTAACATTAAAATTTTTCTACTCTTATAGTAACATTCAAATACAAAAAAAAGTTACCATTTGGACACAAAAAATAATACATTTAAATACAAAAAAAAATAGTAACATTTAAACATAAAAAAAAAATTGAAACATTCAATATTAATATTTTTAAAAAATAATAACAGTAACATATTCAAAAAAAATATTAACATGTTCAACAAAAATAGTAACATGTTTAACAAAAACTATAACATACTTAACAATAATTATTTCTCTCAAATTCAAACGTAAAAAATAGTATCATTCAAATACAAAAACTAATAATATTAAAAAAAAAATATTAACATTGAATATTAATATTTAAGAAAATAATAGTAGTAACATACTAAAAAAAAATAGTAGCACGCTAAAAAATTATAGTACATGAACAGTAATATACTCAACAAAAAGTAGTAACATGAACAATAACATAATAAAAAAAATAGTAACATGAATTTAAATTTTACTATTCAATTCATAATAATTTTTTTTTTATATTTGAATGTTACTATTTTTTATTTTTAATGTTACTATATATATATATATAACCTATATATGAATATATATAGATAAGAAAGAGGAAAAATTTTAATATTAGTTAAACTCTTAAGCTATATATGGATATAAATAAATATAAAAGAAAAAATATTAACTTCTTTTTAAGGAAAGATATTTTTGAGATAAAAAAAAAAAAGTAGAATTAAGTCATTACTTATACTTTTAAATATAGACTTAACCCCTTATAAATTTTCTTGTAGGACTTATCTCAAAATAAGTATATTTAGAAGGACTCTTTTTCAATTTTCAGTAAATATATACTCGAGTTACCTTGAAAAAATTGTATGGGGATGCTTGGTTAGAGACTTAGAGTAAATCTTAGTAAACTACGTGCAGTTGAAAAGTTTGACAGCTCGAAGTCTCTGAGGACAAGAAGACTCAATTGAGCCAGCAAAATGATAATATACGTTTATACATTCAATAAATCTGTATAGGGACTTTATTAAATTATTAGTTATTGTATGTGTGTCTGAAGGCATAAAATAATAAAAAATAATAAACAATAAACATATTTATATTCATATCCAACATTAAATCACAAATATAGAGAAAAGATAAAGATATTTAAATATCGACTTGTAGTAGGAGTGAAAGGTGGTGGACGGCGGTGATGATAGTAGGAGACGATGATGACAGCGACAGTAATGGTGGTGGTGGCAACAGCGGTAGCGACGGTGATGGCGGGGGTGGGGGTGGGGGTGTGCGATGGGGGGTGATGTTGGTGGTGGTGGCGGCGGTGGCGATGACGGCAATGATGGAGGTGATGGTGGCAGTGATGGTAGTGGTGGGGGTGATGGTGGTAGCGGTAGTGGTGGAACGGTTTCAAACACTATTTTTTTTAAAGTATTTATGAAAAATAATTTTTAAAAATACTTTTAAAAAATTACTCCAAAGTTCAAACATATTTTTAGGGACCTATATTTTTTTTTATTAAATTTAGAATGTTAATATTAACAATTAGATTAACTTTAAAATAAAATTTAAAACGATTTCAATCGCGAATAACAAAAGTCATTTTGTTTATCTTTTGAAATTTATAAGCTAATTTATTATATAGATACTTGGCTGAATTATCCCATATCTAATTTAAAAAAAAACACATACATTATAACTCATTGTAGTAATATCTATCTAATATTAAAATTAAGAAGTTGAAATTTCAATTTATATAAACACAACAATGGTCAAGATTGATCTAATTTTCATTAACTTTAATCCAAAGGTTCAAAATCATCTAGAAATTTTTTTTTCTACTAAAAAATATCAATTTTTTTATACAACTCCCAATGCCAAACAATTTTATATACACACTTCTCAATGTCAAATAATTTTATCAAGTCATACTTAGCTCTCTCTTCATTTTAATTTTAAATTGAATAATTAAATTATTAATTAAAATTTAATATTACAAGACCATTTCGATTTTTGATATTATTTAAAATCTTCAGACACAAAATTATTACTAATAAAATTATATTTTATCTTATAGTGTTTCACTTTCTCTCGAGATAAAATAGGGTTGACAAGTAGTCTCTCTTAACTTTAAGCCATTATTTGAAAAAGATATGGGTTAGTACAGACATCTATAACCTATAATATAAACAGAGTACGTTTCAATAAGTTCATTCAACGGTCTTTAAGTAGATTCATTCAACGGTTATTAATATTCTTCTCAAAATCATTTATATTGTATCATATCTTCAGATACTGATTACCCTAGTAGAACATATAAAACTCATTTAAAGGGTTCATTATGAGCCCATATTGGTTCTTGACCACAAAAAACAAAAAACAAAAAAAAAGAGTAAATTGTAAGGGGTAAACCAAATTAAATTTATTTGGCAAAAAGTACACACGAAAAAATGTAGGATTATCAAGTACTTAATTTTGATACTTATTTATATCCAAGTACATAATTTGAATTTATCTATTTTTATTGTGACATTTTTGTCCTCCATTAATTCATGTGTATTTAATGCATCACTTTTCTTTTGAAAGTAGTGCATTAAACATTTTTTAGTTTTATGGGAGAACTTTAATACACACACACACACACACACACACACACACACACATATATATATACACAAATACATATTTTTATATATATTTATATATACACGTTTTTTATATATACATAATTATATATATATATATATATATATATATATATATACACGTTTTTATATATATATAAATACTTATGTATGTATGTATATACTTATTGTTAAATCTCTTTATCTAAATTTTGAATTATTTTTTAATGCACTTTGATTCATGTATTTTTTTTTAGAAAGTGGTTTTATTTTTAAATTAATTTAATATCCGAATAGTGTAATAGTGTAACAATATAAAGTGTAACACTAACAATGTAACAATATAACAATAATAATGTAACAAGTAATTTACATAAAATATTGTACTATTACATTTTGTCAACACATATAGTTTCATATAATTTCATTCAAAATAGTCTATCTCCGTTTTGAATTTGTTAGCATATACACAAAACTACTGAACACTGTTTTTGTTACAGTGTATTTGTTACACTGTCTTTGTTATAGTGTATTTGTTATACTGTTATTGTTATACTATTACATTATTCGGATATTAAATTAATTTAAAAATAAAATTATTTTTCAAAAAAAAAAAACGCTTGAATCAAGGTGCATTAAATATAATTTGAAAACAAAATCATTTTAAAAAAAAATATATATATGAATCAAGGTGCATTAAAGATAATTCAAAATTTAAATAAGAGATTTAACAACAAATATATATATATATATATGTGTGTGTGTGTGTATATATATATATATATATATATATATCGACAAATACACATGACTCAAAGGTGTATTAAATATGTATTTATATGTATTAATAAACACACATGAATCAAGATGTATTAAATATTAAATTTATATGTACTTTTTGCCAAATAAATCTAATTAAGTGTATTGGCTTCCAAAGAAAAAAAAAAAAAAAAAAAAAAAGAGGCCCATATTGGTTCCTTAGCCTACTGAACCTACCAAAATATCAGCCCAAACCCAAGATTGGATCATTGGATTCTATGCGTATTGGACAAGTAAGCCCACCAAGAAATGGAACAAATAACCAACGCCACTGAGTCGCCGCCACAAACGGTGGTGATCTCATTCTCTTTCTCTCTCTCTCTCTCTCTCTCACAGACACACACACACGCTCGCAACAACAGTTAGAAGAAAATCATTCTCTCTCAGTCATCGATCAAAAACTTACCCAGAAAACCTTTCCACTGATCACAATTCACAATGCAGCCACGACATACTCCGCCGGAATCGGACCTACCACTACTCGCCGCCATCAAAGTCAAATCCTCCTCCCCACGCTTCCCACCTCCCATCGCCACTCCTTCCTCCACCGAAACCCCAACTGCCAACGCCCAGCGCAAAATTGGCATCGCCGTCGACCTCTCCGACGAGTCTGCCTTCGCCGTTAAATGGGCCGTGCATCACTACCTCCGCCCCGGCGACGCCGTCATCCTCATCCACGTCCGACCCACTTCCGTACTCTACGGTGCTGACTGGGGCTCTGTTGACCTCTCTATCGTCGATACCGACAATGAAGAGTCGACTCAAAAGCTCGAAGACGATTTTGATACTTTTACGACGACGAAATCGACCGATTTGGCCCAGCCGTTGGTGGAGGCTGATATTCCGTTCAAGATCCATATCGTGAAGGACCATGATATGAAGGAGAGGCTTTGTTTGGAAGTGGAGAGGCTAGGGTTGAGTGCGCTGATTATGGGGAGTCGAGGGTTTGGGGCGACGAGACGAGGGAGTAATGGGAGGCTTGGGACTGTGAGTGATTACTGTGTGAGGCACTGCGTTTGTCCAGTAGTTGTTGTGAGGTATCCTGATGAGAAGGACAGTGGAAATGCTGGCGGTGCGCCGGTGGTGTCCGTGGCATCGGTGGGCGCCGGGGATGAGGAGGAGGTGGAGTATCATGATGCCACTGATGATCGGAAAGGTTAGGGTTTTTGATTCTTTGAACTATGCTAGTGGTTGGTCTTTCATAATTTGTTGCGAATTTGGTAACGTTTTCCTGTTTTTGCCTCTGTTTGTGAAATAGCTGGTTATTTGTAAATCGAATGAATTAATTGCTGTTCTTGATCAAGTTTTCAGATACTTTTGTTATTTAGAATTGATCTATTGAATGTGAAATATAACTCTGTGTTGCCTTCTCGAGTTGATTGATTCTGTATATTTATTATGGTGGTAATGGTGTCGGAGACAACTAATGGAGTCGCAGGCAACTCAGATTATGTTCATGCTAAGTATTGATTTTTTCTCTCGAGTGATTTCAAGTGTTTTATGGACGGTGGCTGATTAGTTATGTATACAAGGAACAGAGATTACAAAAAATAATGCTAGTAGGATTTAATGCAGTAGCTATAAAGCAAAATGATAGTATGCTGGTGATATGCATGGACCAAATGTCGACTAGTAGGTTGGCTGAGGCCCATAGACCGAATGGTCTTGCATTTGGTGTCACGTGACTGAGGATCATAGAATTGTAAGCTTGCTTAAGGTAGAAAATCTATTTTTTTCGCAACCTAGGGTCTTGATAAGAACTTACCAATTAGGGGTTATTTAGAATGTCTAATTAGTTTTGGGGCTTCGTAAATAATGTATGTCAATTTCTTTGAGAAGATTTATAGGCATACATATATGGTTATCAATTGGTTTCTTTTGCTATCCGTGTTTATAAATATGCTTGTTATCCATGCTCATCATGTATGTATATGCATACACATCTTTGTGTACATGCAGAGACATGAATGTATTTTGCCATGTGCCTGGTGTATGATGTCTGTGCTATATCCTTGTTGAATTTGTGACTACTACGTTATGTTGGCATCTGAATTCTATTGTGTCATGGTCTCCATGATGGGTAATGCTCGGGTATAGAGTGGAGGGCTGTATAGCATTTAGCTTGGCCAATCATTGGCACTTGTTGCAAGTGCCTAGACCCATGGGCCATGGCTAATAAGCTATCTGCTTTGGTCATTGAGTGCAGCATACCAAGGTTTTGGAGTGGCCAAAGACTGGGCATGGAGTGGAGCACTCTGCCTGGATTTAGAGTGTGCCAATTATTGGCACTTGTTGTAAAGGCATCCATGCTTTGATTGCGAAGCATTTCACTTTTATAAGGAAGCGTAGTATTGTCTTGCATGTCTGATATTTCTGTTCACTTATGCCATTGTGTTGTGGTGTGTGAGGATGTGATGGTCATGGTAGAAAATCATTTTTCATGTGAAATCGAAGAGCCCTTGTCCTTGCTTGCAATACAGAAATTTTAAGGATTAATAAAGTCCATCCATTCACCATTTTACTACCAACCATCACGGTAAAGAATTTACAATCAAGATAGATCAAGTTTTTTGTAATTGTTTCGAGTTACTGTTCTGGTTGCAATAGGTTTTGCATGGATATAACTGGTGATGATGTGTGGCTGAGTGGAATGTCTAAATTGTTTGTGTTGCAAACAGGACATTTTACTTTTTCCGCGGTCGGGGTTCTTGATTTGAGAATTCTTGTTTGATTTCCTATGGGACATTCTTGAGTTTTTGCCTCAAGATGATTAGTGGAGCTGAACTTAATGTCTACATTACTTTTGTGGGTTTTACCTGCTAGAATTTAATCATTTGTTTCTTGTTTTGTGGCAGAAACCTAGCTGAAATTTTGTTTCACAATGAGATTCTGAATGGAAGGTATGTATTTTTCGGCAAGAAATTATCTTCTTACTGACTATCTAATATGATTTGTCCAACAGGCGCACAAACGAATGATACACACATTGACTTGTCAGCCATTAATATTATCATATGTTTCTTTCCATGTTTCCGTTTCCATATATGTTTTTTAGATTCTGATGTTGCTTCTTCCCCCCCCCCCCCCCCCCCCCCCCAATTGTAGAAAGTGGAAGGCCTTGCTGTGTCTACAAACTGAAACTGAAGACGAAACCTAATCTGTCATTTGGAACAACTTAGATGTTCTAGATTGTTGGATTCTTGTATGTGAACCTTAGTTGCTCTCTCTCTCTCTCTCTCTCTCTCTCTCTGATATTAACTGTGATAGTCGTATGGGAATTGCTGGCATCTTTGCTTTTGGAGGTAGGTCTACCAGAAGATGTCTTGCATCCTTCTTTGTGATATATATATGTACTCATTGAATTCTAGGGGTGCTTATTTATTCCGAGACATTATAACATGACTGTTTCTTTGGCGTTCTTGATGCTTATATCTATGGCTATGATGCTATTTGGGTACGCAATGGCGTCTCTTGATTAGGTATTACTTCAGAAATGTTTTGCGTCGGTAGAAAAGCAAAATGCTGCATTTCAGTTATCTGGATACTGTTTATTCATTCATAAATTTGACTTTAAATTTGGAGAGAAGACGCCTGAAAATCTTTATTACATTAATAAACATAGGGACAAAAAAAAAAAAAAACTTATTAGATCAATAGGAAGTTAAAGGTAAAAACTTTGGTTAAATTTTTCCATAGTTAAGCGACGATAGTGTGTAGAGAGGATCGAAGAAGATGGTTCATCCTTGCTGTTGTCGACCCTGCTTCACCATTATCTTGAACGTTCTATGCTTGATGTTTTTTCACGTGTTCTTTGGTCTGAAAGTGCTCAAACTTCAATATTGTTCCTCCAGAGATAGAGAGCTCATAGCCACTGAGATGCCGTTGGATTGAATCCGAAAGAACAGCTGCCGATGCTATGCTGCCCCAACATGAAAGAAAACTTTCAGGCTACAGAGGTACTAAAATACACAGCAGCAACTAATATAGTGAACTCATATTTATCACTAAAATCTTAACTTGAAGCTTGGAGGGAGGGAGAGAGAGAGAGAGAGAGAGAAAAACATATTTAGTACCTCAGAATCAAGATCTTTAGTTTCGGGCATTCTCCTGAATGAAGAAACAGCTTCACCGCCCTGAGAAGAAAACCTGCTGGAGGAGTACTTTTCGTCATTACTGGTGCCAGAACTCGATGGAGCAGGCCGTGGCGGAGTAGGAGACCAAGGAACTACTTGATTACCTCCGTCGACCTCCTCATCCTCACCATCGGTATTATTATCAGTACTGCTGTCATCTTCAAATTCAAGATCATCATATTCCTCATCTTGGTTACCTCGACTTTCTTGGTCTCTATCCTGTTTTCCATTACGGTCATGAAGGCAAGTCTCGCAGACGGAGAAGGTAGGCCCAAACTTCGGACCAGAAGCTTGCCATGGCGTCGGAGATTGACAGACGTGACAGAGAAGACTCCTCGAGTGTTTGGCCACCAAGAAATTTGCACAATGGACCTTCTCATCGCAGTCCCAGCACAAACTCGCTTCATCAGAATCACAATATATCCTCGCTGCTAAGCTACACAGCTCGCACCCCTTCTTCATTCTCTCTCTCTGTGTCCTGTTTCTGTGTGTGTCTGTGCGCGCGCTAAGCCTGTATTGTCGTTGTCTGTGTCTTACAATTCAGCCATCTAACTCGAAAAGAGTAACGTTAGAACTATAAAATATTGCTATCTAATCTAATGGAGGGATTAAATAATACGAGTACTGATTAAGCAATAATTCCGTTTCATCTTTGATATTTATTGGATTAAAATAACTTGAAATCCATCTTAAATTATTATTTTTTTATAATTAATTTTAGATAATAGTTAAAAAAAATCTGCTCAAGTAACACCCAATGGCGGTAATGCTATGACCAAGAAAACGGATTATAAATTAAATTTGAATTTTATATTAAATACAATAAAATTAAAAATACCATCATGTTAGTTTTATATCATTTTTTTTAAATTTTTTTTTATTAAAAAAATAGGTGGAAGAAGTTGAAGCGACTACTTTTTCATTATTTTATTATATCATATAAGTAATCGAATTATTAAGTTAAAATTATAGGCTAAATTTCTTAGTTCCTCCTTATGATGACATGTCAGCATGTTATCCCACGCTTGGTAGCCTACACGGCTGGTTGTGGTCCATATAAGGTCTTGACCCATGTGAGAGCCACCTGGTCTTTCGTTAGCCATCTGGCTTGAACGTGGTCCCCCCCCCCCCCCTCTCGAATGATGAGATAGATCATAAAACTAAACTACTGAATAACTCAAGAGGAAGGGCTGATCTGTACTAACGTATGGCGGAGGATATTCATTTGTTGTTTTGTTTATTTGATCATCTGAGACAAACCCACGTGAACTGTCTTGCGTGGCACGTCCCTTTGTCCGTTTTTGGAGAGAGAAAATCGTGTTGCTTACGTGGACACGTTAGTCCAAGGGTCTGAGCTTAGCGGTAAAGGACAAGGGACTGAGGATAGGACTCCAGGAGGTTCTCTGCATCGAGACTTTTGGTTTTGGGGTAGAGGGGGAGCCTCTCTTTGGAGGTTCCAAGTCCCAACGTGCAGAGGGCTGTGGACCCGCTCATGAAAGTGACTTTCAAACGTGGAAGGGGGACGATCAAGAAAAAAAAAAAGTGAAAAATATATGTATTAGAGGAATTTGAATCCGTGAACATACATACAATTTGTGTGAAAAATGAATCATATATTAGTGTCTGGAACGATACATGAATATGGAATATCGTGGACTCGAATTTTGGAAATTGTCCCTTTAAAAAAATAAAAGAATTATAAATAAGTTTATTGTACCAAAAGTGTTTATATTTTTCATTACCATTTCATTAATTTCTAAATAAATTAAAGATCACCAAGTATTTTAATCGACAAATACAAATCAATAAACTCATATTTTGTATATCACATGTCATGCGAGATTAAAATACAGATTTGACACCTTATCAACCATTTCATTTTAATCCGATCACACAGGTCTCTTGGTTAGTAATGCATCGGACCATTAGCTACCATGACCCGATCTCGATCCACACAATGAGATCGATGTATTCAATGATAGCTGGCTTAAATATCAAACTAGATGCTAAGCCCATCAAGCAAGCACAACGATGCTTTCATACACTTCTACTGAAGAAGAAGATGGAGAAAGAATACAATAAATAAAAGATGTGGCTTTTATAAGAGAAGAAGAACATCTCGATTAATTGGTAAAGTCATCGGTCGTGTCTCATATTGTATCGGTCTCAACTGTCTCAATCGCTAGCTTTTCTTTTTTGTCATCTATAGGAAGAGACTATATGGTACTTCTTAGAGTTTGAGTTGGATTGATTCATAGAAACGGGAAAACTAATATTATGTTTAAAAAATATGAAATCGTCGTGTAAAAAGATCATTAACATTTATAGCCCTTTTGAGACAAAGGGTATCCAACCTCACTCAATAAATACAAACAAAATGAGATGTATGGCTCAGTTTGTTTGTGTAGGGGATGAAATTTGAACAAAGCACATATGAATTACAAATCACAGGATAATTAAGGATATACTATTTGCAAAGAGATTTAAGAATGATCATATAGTACACCACCCTACATCAAATATTCAATTGACTCCGATAGATATGAATTTAAAATTACCAAAAATCATTTCCTCAAATTCCATAGCAATCTGATCTCAAATCACCATTTAATGAAGTCTTATTTTTTTTTCCTTCTCTTTGTTCTCTTTCTTCCCATTTCATTTCTACTGCGTGTAAGGATTAGTTGAATTTCTTGTGAAGCACACAATCACCAATTGTTTTATCATGCTTGTCACGTGTCCACAGTTCATTTTGACTAGTGTTTGATGATATACCAAAGTATACCCTTGATACACATGCATGACTACACCATCTTGGTTACTATAAGTATTTAGCATCGCATATTTCTTCTGACATAAAATATATCCAATATTATAGCCATCGAACTCGTCTTTACGCATGGAATGTTACTGATCAATCCTAACTTTTTTTTTTTTTTTTTGTAACTAAAACCCTAAAAATTACATCTGCACCCACAAAAAATATAAATTCCAGTACTATACTTACTTCAGTATATTGTGCACTATGACCATAACTTGGTTTTTAGCTCAAGTAATAAAAACAATTTTGCATTTTCATGCATTTGATCTTTCTTAAATTTTATAATAGTAGGAGTCTTTTGAAGTATGTGCCTTATCATACATGACCATGATTTGTTTTTGGCTTTTGGGATGTGGATTAGATTGACAATTTGGACATTTAAGGCTACCCATTTTGCTAAGGTTTTGGAATAAAAAATCTTAAGAAATTGGAAAAAAAAAAAAACTAGGAAATAATATGTGGGCTTTTATGGATTAGCGTCTTTAGACAAAGTTGTGTTTTATGTTGAATGAAGTCCAAGTTTAAAGAGGGAACGGGCCTAGACCAATTGATTGGCATCTGGGATGGACTGGATTAGGAATTGTCAGTGGTGGAGATGTAAAGATGGCTGGAAAGGGTTTTTCCCGGTTAGGTGTTCTCTCTTTCTCTCTCAACAAACATCAAATCGCATCATTCACTAACGATGAAGTTGAGGGTTTGTGGGTTGTGGTGGTTTTGAGAGGTTATGGTGGTTATCGTGGTGGTCGGTTATGGTGTATGGTGGTTGTGGGTATGAGATCCGGGGTAGGGGCTGGGGGTTATGGCGATAGAAGGCTGGGTTTTTTCTTGGTGGGTGGTGGTTCTGTTCTAGGTGGTTCTAGATCTAGGTGGTTTTGGGAGATTTTAGGTGGGTTTGATTGGGTTTTGATCGGTGGTATTTGGGTTTACTTAAGATGGATTATGTTACAAGAAAAATTAATTAGATTAACAATATTATCAATTGAAAAAGCAATGATTTGGCAACCTGGGGCAGGCCAAGTCATGGGTATTTATCTTTAGAGCATACTTTATTTTTTGATATTTTAGTCTAAATTTAATTTATTTTTGATCGAATTAAATAGAAGATTAATCAAAGTTTATGTATATTTATGTGATAATAATTCTTTACTTTGTCCTCATATTAAAATCAGAGTCCGTCAATTGTGGCTCTATTTTTCTAACTTTCTGATGATGTTCCCTTTGAAAACTAACGCATGAAGACTTGTAAGAAGGATTGAAGACAGAAACCGGCGTTGCATTCATTTGTGGACCTGATTTCTGAGATATATTGTGTATGTGTAGAGATTATAAGTCAGGTTGCTATCGACCTTACTTTGTAGTGGTTCCAATGACTTGCTACACTAGGGTGTACTTTGCTTTATTTGTAACTGGAGCATTAAAAAACTCAATGTGAACAAAAAATCATACCTTCTACTTATCAAATTCTATTAGAGATTGATGATGATTGAATACGCTTTTTTATGTGTAGTTTTGGCAAGGAAGAGTTCCATATCTTGATAGAGCTATGTGATTTGTTTGAGACGTTGCTTTGTACAATCTGAAAATAACGAAGTCTTAGAATTTTGTGGCATAAAAAACAATGAACTACATTATGAGAAAACAATAGCCATATTTGCTTTCAAATTTCTCAGTTATTGTAGCTCTGTTTATTTGACACAATCCTTTGCTTTGCCTTCGCCATAAAGTCATAATCTGCTGATTTTGGCCCCATTTTTGTTGGCTGCATTCTGACGTTATGCTGGAATGGCCCTTCGAAAATTTGTCCGCGAGGACCCCAAACTGGAATCAAGACAGAAACTAGTTTTGCAATCATTGCGAACCTGATTTTTAGGAACTTGGGTGTATGTGGCTTTACAAATTGGGATTGATCATGATGGAACATATAGGTCCATTTGAAAACTCTAGATCTTTTTGTGATCAATTTTAATACATAGCGGTTTCCATTTCTTGATTTTGACTTCTTACAATAGCTCCTTTCTTAGCTTTGTTTGTTGTTGTTCAAAAAACTCAGTGTGAAGAAAAAACATACCTTACGACTTACACAAAATTCATTCTTTACATTGTATAAACGAGGAGAAAGTTTCTGGCGAGTCCTCGACACCCAAAGCAGAAGGCTACCGGACCTGCTGCTTATTATATAGCTAATTACGTCAATACATTACTTTTGGGTCCAACAGTTGGGAGTTTAGAGAAGGCAATGGAGCTCCTGTCTTTCTTCATCTTCTATCCTTTGATCTGTTCATCAACCTTGTTGGAACTTTCATTTGCAGCAGATACAATTTTTCCAGGCCAATTCCTTACGGATGCAGAGACTCTAGTTTCCTCCAACCAAAGATTCGAGCTAGGTTTCTTCTCTCCTGGCAGGTCCAAGAACAGGTATATAGGAATATGGTACAAAACTACCCCGGATGTCATTGTGTGGGTAGCAAACAGAAACAACCCTATTACGGATTCACCGGGAGTCTTAACAATCAGCAGTAATGGAACACTGGTTCTTCTCAGTGGAACACGAAGCACCATCTGGTCTGCAAATTTGTCAAAAACAGCATCAAGTCCAGCTGCACAGCTCCTGGATACTGGAAACCTTCTTGTTATAGACAGGTAATCATGAGTTCAGAAAGCTATATGTGGCAGAGCTTTGATTTCCCAACTGACACACGGTTACCAGGCATGAAGGTGGGACGAAATTTTGATACTGGTTTAGAACAAAATCTGACCTCATGGAAAAGTGCTGAGGATCCTTCCCTTGGAGATTTCACCTACAAAGTTGATAATCATGGATTGCCTCAAGTGGTTATTACAATGGGATCAGTCAAAAAGTACCGGACTGGGCCGTGGAATGGAATTCGATTCAGCAGAGATCCCGTGTTCACAAATCTTGCTTTTCATCATGTATTGGACTTCACCGGAAACAGGATGAATTCCATCTCTGAGACTTACAACTCCTCCATTATTACAAGGTTAGCTATGGAACCATTAGGCACCGTTCATCGCTATTTAATGAATCAAACGGGCACTACATGGACTCAAATTACTACAACACCAACTGACCCCTGTGACAATTACGGGCAGTGTGGTCCCAATGGCATTTGCAGAATCAACAAATCTCTAATGTGAAAATGTTTGAAGGGATTCACTCCAAAATCTCCACAAGCGTGGGAAATGCTTGAATGGTCCAGTGGATGTGTAAGAAAGGTACCATTGGATTGCCAGAGTGGAGAAGGATTTCAAAAGGTTGCATCAGTCAAGGTTCCCGACTTGTTGGAGTTCCAGCTAAACACTAGTATGAGCCTCGTTGAGTGCAAGGCAGAGTGCTTGAAAAACTGTTCTTGTACTGCTTGTGCTAATGCATTTGTTACTGGAGGTGGCAGTGGCTGTGTGATGTGGTTCTGGGATCTGATGGACATCAGGGAGTTTGTTGCAGAGGGAAGTGAACAAGATATCTATTTGCGCTTGCCAGCCTCAGAATTAGGTGTGTGATTCTCTTGGGGTGCGTCCTAGCTTTAGTTTATATCTAATATCTTTATTTGTTTAGCCAGACAATCTAAGGGGTTATCAAGTGAACAGAGATAGAGGGTAGCTTATTTTGTCAAGCAGGACAGGAAATTCACTTTACCACTAGACCAGTACAGCAGTTTAAGATCATTCGTTTTTCAGAGGTTCGTCGTGGGCGGTTTAGGACAACCAGCCATAACTGCCGCGTAGTTCTTTGGAGCGATCTCCGTAGGAACTGCCAACGGGTTGCCCACCGGAGTGGTAGAAGAGGACGGGGGAACATTTTTCCAACCCATTCCTTCGTCGAAATCTGTTCGCCACCAAAACATCTTTTTCTATCATATTTCATTTTCCTTTCCTGCATCTTTTTGTCTATCCATAGGTTGGCGTGCATGCTAATAATTTTTATGAGGTTCAAAAGAAAACAGTTGGAATTTGTAAAAAAATGGAGCAATTCTAATGACAAAATCACCTTTTCCAAATTCAGACATGCAGGAAGCATAGTTATACAGTTTTTAGAATAACAGGTAATTTTGAAGCAAATAATAATATCTGTCAAACTTTCACTGTTTGTAGAATACTTCAGTCATTCAAAGGAGAAGAAGAAAAGATTTATAAAGACCCTAGTGCTATTGGCAATTTCAGGACTACTTATCTTGTCTGTGGTTTGCGGTTGCATAGTCATGAAAATAATAGCAAAGAGAAGGGGTAAGAAGGCTGGTTTTTTTTTCCCCAATCTTTGGATATAAGTTATATGATCAAGCTTGTGTTAAAACATTAAATCATCTCGGGAAGCATTTTTTAAATTGTACTGAATCAAATTAGCAGCTCAGAAAAGGAAGAACAAAGACTTCGAATTGCCTTTATTTGGTCTGGCAACTATTTCGGCTGCAACAAATAACTTCTCTCATGCAAACCTGATTGGAAAAGGTGGCTTCGGTCCAGTTTACAAGGTAACATTGGACATATTCAGTTCTTCCTTTATTTAATCTGTGTATGTTCGGTTCTTTTTTTATTTTGGTCAGACTATATTTTCAGTTCTTAAGTGAGCCGAATCTTGTTTATGATTGTGCATCTTATATATGAGACACACAGGGCCAGTTATCAACCGATCAAGAAATAGCAGTGAAAAGACTGTCAAAGAATTCAGGACAAGGTCTCGAAGAGTTTAAAAATGAAGTTGTTTTGTTTGCCAAACTCCAACATAGAAATCTTGTCAGGCTTTTGGGATGCTGCATTCATGGAGAAGAAAGGATGTTAATCTATGAGTACATGCACAACAAAAGCTTGGATTATTTTATTTTTGGTTTGAGCCTTGAAATCCTCTATCTCTTGGTTTAGTTCCTTGGTTCATTAAATGCGCCAGTTAAGCATCTGAATCAAGTCAACCACTTGATTTTAATGTGAAAAGTTCTGATCCTTATAAATGGTGGATAATGTGCAGATCAGAGTAGAAGTGCATCGTTGGCTTGGCCAAAGCGTTTTGACATAGTTATGGGGATTGCATGGGGGCTTCTCTATCTCCATCAAGATTCTAGATTGAGAATTATTCACAGGGATCTCAAAGCAAGCAATATTCTACTAGACAGGGATCTCATTCCCAAAATTTCAGATTTTGGCTTAGCAAGGATTTTCGGAGGTGATCAAACTTTTGCAAAAACGAAGAGAGTAATTGGTACATAGTAAGTTTTACTCACTTAAACTCAAATAGTATGTTTAAACTTTAGAGGACCTTATGGTTGATAAGTTCATGCAGTGGCTATATGTCTCCAGAGTACGCGATTGATGAAAAATTCTCTGTGAAGTCCGATATCTTCAGCCTGGGTGTGCTTATGTTAGAGATAGTTAGTGGCAAAAGAAACAGAGGTTTTCATCATCCAGATCACCACCACAACCTTCTGGGGCATGTAAGTACTACAACGATCTCTTTTCTCTCTTCCTCCTCACTCTGAGTTTGTATTAATTCTTCTCATGGATTTTAAATATATATGCTCACTCGCTGAGCCTAAGAGAGACTGCATTCTTGCAATTGTTTTAGGCTTGGTTGCTATGGAAACAAGACAGGGCTTTGGAGCTAATGGGTGCATGCCTGAGGAACTCATGTGTGGAGTCTCAAGTGCAGAGGTGTATCCAAGTGGGACTATTGTGTGTTCAACAGCATCCACAAGACAGGCCAACAGTGTCATCCATAGTTTTTATGATGGGTAGCGAGGAATCAATGTTGCCTAAACCTAAACAGCCTGGTTTTTTCTCAGGAAGGAGTTCCAAGGGTACTAAGGAAGCTGACAGCTTGAGCAAGTTACTGGAGCAGTGTATTATGGTGCCAAATAGAAAACAGTCTCTTCTCTCCGCTCTTAACATAATAGGTTCGTTATGGGGGTGTTAAAATTTAATTCGACTTGTCAATACGACATAAATACGATACGAAATTAGAGAGTTTGAGTATTTTTTAAGTCACTCATTTATAAAACGTGTGGATCTAATATGATACGATTAATAAACGAATCGGATGTGAGTGAAGTCACTCTAAAGAAATATACGACACAACACGTATATATATTGGTTGTACACGATGTATACACAATTTGAATCCAAAATAAAATAATTTGTTAAACATGAATTAATAAATAAATTGAATATGAGTGAACTGATTTTTTACACAAACTCACTAAAATCCGATACAAATTCAAACACGGTGACATAATAAAAATGTCGAGTTAATGTCCAAACATCTAAATAAATAATTAAATAGGTGAATCTAGAGATAAAAACCCAACAGGACACAACCTGAATATGACTTTACATGGCTCAACAGTCATAGTCACCCATAACTGTCTGGATTGAAAATCTCCATTCCCACAATCCAGCTGTGTATTCCAAATGCACCTCTTTGACCAATACAGTATGTACAATTTTTCAGGGATGAATGATATCGGGACGTAATTTGAGAAAATAATAATTGTAACCATCGAATTATTAATAAGTCTCAACTGGGATCCAATAATCATAAAATGGTAAATTCTTAAATTATGTCTCAATTATATTAATATTTTTCGGAGTTACATTCTGCCACTCTGGTGGACGACCGGTCAAATAAAGCTCCCAGTTTCTTTATTGACAGGCAAAGCAATCTTCTTGTATCTTTTCACCTTTTGCTTCTCTTTCAAAGTCAGCTCTTAATACGAATTGTCATACTAGAAATTTCACCACCCATATTCGATTTTGAATTTTCGCTCTGTTTATTTGCACCAACCCTTTACTTAGTCCTCTCCATCAATTCATTATCTGCCAATTTTGACCTGATTTTTTGTTGGTTGTCTTCTGACCTTATGCTGCCAATTGAGAATTCAGCCGCGAGATGAGAACCTGTCAATGGAGTGAAGGCAGAAACAGGGGTTGCATCATAGTGAACCAAATTTTTGGGACCTCGTCTGGGGTGTACGTGTCTACAAATTGCGATGAACAGGGCATAAATTTTAGGTCCATTTGAAAATTCTTAGTCATTTTGCCGTCAGCTTTAATAAGAAATGCTTTCCATTCATGTACTAGCACTCTTCTTGGCTCTATTTATAATATTATTCACTTAATCAAATCGAACATAGAAGAAGTTGATGTTGGTTTACTTTTTGTAACCTCTACACAGAAATTGATAAGTTGGCTGAATTTGAGTTCACCTAACATTTGTAAATGAGTTCACCTAGTTTCCTCAATACTTTCTGATTCAACAGTTGCATAATGAGGCCACTCTTCACCTTCACCTTCCTCTATGCTTTGATCTGTTCTTCAACCTTGTTGGAACTTTCAGTTGCAGCAGATACAATTATTCCAGGCCAAGTCCTTACTGATGGCGAGACTACAGTTTCATCCAACCAAAGATTCGAGCTTGGCTTCTTCTCTCCTGGCAGGTCCAAAAACCGGTACCTAGGAATATGGTACAAAACAACTCCGGATATTGTTGTGTGGATTGCAAATAGAAACAAACCGATTACAGATTCACAGGGAATCTTAACAATCAGCAGCTATGGAACGCTTGCTCTTCTCAATGGAACCCGAAGCACTGTCTGGTTTGCAAAGTTGTCAAAAAAAGCAACAAGTCCAGTTGCACAGCTCTTGGGTACTGGAAACTTAGTTCTTACAGACAAGGCAAGCGCGAGTTCTGAAAGCTATATGTGGCAGAGTTTTGATTTCCCAACTGACACTCGGTTGCCAGGAATGAAGATGGGGGAGAATTTTGATACTGGTCTAGTCCAATATTTGACATCATGGAAAAGTGCCGAGGATCCATCCCTTGGAGACTTCACCTACAAAATTGATAACCATGGATTGCCTCAAGTGGTTATTAGAATGGGATCAGTGAAAAAGTACCGTACTGGGCCGTGGAATGGAGTTCGGTTCAGTGGTCACCCCTCGCTTGAGTATCCAGTTGTTTTTAAACCTGTATTCCACTTTAATGGGAACAGTTTGGATTCTATCTCTGAGAGTTACAACGACTCAGCTATAGTAAGAACTACTCTGAATCATTCAGGCTCTCTCCATCGCTATGTAATGGACGAAATGGGCACTAATTGGACCCTAATTTTCACTACACCAGGTCAACCATGTGACGATTATGGGAAATGCGGTCCCAATGGTATTTGCAGAATTAACAAAGCTCCAAACTGTGAATGTTTGAAGGGATTCACTCCAAAATCTCAACAAGAATGGGAAATGTTTGTACTATCCAGTGGATGTGAAAGAAAGGTACCATTGGATTGCCAGAGTGGAGAAGGATTTATAAAGATTGCAGCAGTAAAGCTGCCTGACTTGTTGGATTTCCAGCTAAACACTAGTATGAGCCTCGTTGAGTGCAGCGCAGAGTGCTTAAAAAACTGTTCTTGCACTGCTTATGCTAATGCATTCGTTACTGGAGGTGGCAGTGGCTGTTTGATGTGGTTCGGGAATCTGATGGACATCAGGGAGCTTCCTGCAAAAGGAAGTGATCAAGATATCTATTTGCGCTTGGCAGCTTCAGAAATAGGTATGTGCCTTCCCTTGGTGTGCATCATTGCTTTAGTTTAGACTCTCAAATCTTTAATTATTTTGCCTGACAACCTAAGTGGTTACCGAGTGAACAAAGATCATTTCTGCACGTTAATTTTCATGAGGTTCAAACAAAGCCGTAGGAATTTATAAAGAAAAAATAGTGCAATTCTAATGACAAATAAACTTGTCAATAATTCAGACATGCAGGAAGCATTGTAGCACAGTTCTTAGAGAAACAGGCAATTTGAAGCAAATATTAATATTTTTCAACATGCACTATTTGTAGAGTACCTCAGTCATTCCAAGGAGAAGAAGAAAAGACTTACAAAGATCCTAGTGGTATTGGCCATTTCAGGGCTACTTCTCTTGTCTGTGGTGTGCGTGTTCATATTCATGAAATTAATAGCAAAGAGAAGAGGTAAGAATGCTGATTTGTTTACAATCTTTGAATGGAAGTCATATTATCAAGCTCAAGTGTTAAAATGGTAAATTATGTCTGGAAGACTTGTTTAAAATCTTAGTCAATCAAATTCTCAGCTCAGAAAAGGAAGAACAAAGACATAGAATTGCCTTTGTTTGGTTTGGCAACTATATCTGCTGCAACAAATAACTTCTCTCATGCAAACCTGATCGGAAAAGGTGGCTTCGGTCCAGTTTATAAGGTAACATTGGATATGTTCAGTTCTTACTTCTTTCAATCTGGATGTGAGCAAAATATTTTTTTGTATGATTGTGCATCTTATATGTGAGGCACACAGGGCCAGTTATCAACCGAACAAGAAATAGCAGTGAAAAGGCTGTCAAAGAATTCGGGACAAGGTCTCGAAGAGTTTAAAAATGAAGTTGTTTTGTTTGCCAAACTCCAACATAGAAATCTTGTCAGGCTTTTGGGATGCTGCATTCACGGAGAAGAGAGAATGTTAATCTATGAGTACATGCACAACAAAAGCTTGGATTATTTTATTTTTGGTTTGAGCCTTGAAATCCTCTATCTCTTGATTTAGTTCCTTGGTTATATGCTTGTCGATTTAGCATCTGAACAGAGTCATCCACTTGATTTTAATTTGGATAGTTCTGAATCTTCTGATCCTTGTACTTACAAATGGTGGACATTGTGCAGATCAGAGTAGAAGTGCGTTGTTGGTTTGGCCAAAGCGTTTTGACATAGTTATGGGGATTGCACGAGGGCTTCTCTATCTCCATCAAGATTCTAGATTGAGAATTATTCACAGGGATCTCAAAGTAAGCAATATTTTACTCGACAGGGATCTCATTCCCAAAATTTCAGACTTTGGCTTAGCAAGGATTTTCGGAGGTGATCAAATTTTTGCAAAAACGAAAAGAGTTATTGGTACATAGTAAGTTCTACTCACTTAAACTCAAATATTGTGTTCATAATTTAGAGGAGCTTATAATTGATAAGTTCATGCAGTGGCTATATGTCTCCAGAGTACGCAATTGATGGGAAATTCTCTGTGAAGTCTGATGTTTTCAGCCTGGGTGTGCTTATGTTAGAGATAGTAAGTGGACAAAGGAACAGAGGTTTTCATCATCCGGATCACCACCACAACCTTCTGGGGCATGTAAGTACTACAAAGGATGCTTCTTTTCTCTTTCTCTCTCTTCGCCCGTTCTCTCTGAGTTTGCATTTTACTCCTCATGGATTTTCCATGTGTAAGCTCACTTGCTGAGCCAACGAAAGAAAAAAAAACACAGTCACTTCATTCTTGCAATTGTTTTAGGCTTGGTTGCTATGGAATCAAGACAGGGCTTTGGAGCTAATGGATGCTTGCCTGAGGAACTCATGTTTGGAGTCTCAAGTGCAGAGGTGTATCCAAGTGGGACTATTGTGTGTTCAACAGCATCCACAAGACAGGCCAACAATGTCATCCATAGTTTTTATGATGGGTAGCGAGGGATCAATGTTGCCTAAACCTAAACAGCCTGGTTTTTTCTCAGGAAGGAGTTCCATTGACACTGATGCAGCAGAAAAAAGTGAAGAACTTCATACAAAAGAACCAGAAACTATAACAATACTACAAGCTCGATAGAGGATTCATAAGGGGACTGAATATTAGCGATGTGAGTCCATCTTTAGAATCTTTCTGGTTGTTCTTTTATTATTTGGATTCACCTGGCTAATTTTTTTTTTTGTATAATTTGATTGTTGACACTGATTAAGTAGAATTTACTGGATAACTTTGTTCACATGCTTAATTGGACATCATGAAACTACCGTCACTGGCGTCGTAGTTGTTGTGATGGTGGTTGCGTAGAAGAAGAAGAAGAAAGGCCTGACAACATTGACCACAGTTAGAATATGAAGTGTCTCGATATTTTAGCCCTGTTTGGTAGAAGGGAAAAACAGGTGGATGGAAAATGGAAGAGAAGGAAGTATTTTTCATTGTTTTGTGAAAAAGGAAAAGTGGATGGAAAGAGTAATGTCATATAGATTTAAAAATTAGATTTGATAATTATAACTATTGAATAGGTAGTGAGTCCCAATAAATACCGAGACTCACAGTACAATTAATAATTAAAATTATCAAGTCTTTTTTTTAATTTAATTTTTAAGTTCATGTAGCACTACTCGGATGAAAAAGAAAAAGGAAAGGGAAGAGTCTCCTTTGAGCCTACCACTATTGATCCGCAACAAATATGGGCTGAAAATGAGGGAGAATTGTTGGTTGCAAAAGGTAATTGAGTTAATGTATATTTATACCCTTATTAATTGCATATTCTCTATAACTGTAATGTTAAATACCATTTGTATAAGGAGTACAATTTTAAAAATGTTGCTATATAACTTATAGTTAATGCTACATTGATCAAATTTTATGATTAAATTTAGAGTCCAAATGACATGACAGTTGATTATTTGAAATTTTTATTGGGACCCAAATAACATGACACCAATCAAAGAAGTTCAAGTCAACTGTCATATCATTTGGGTTCTAAATTTGGTCCTAAAATTTGGTTAGTGTAACATTACTCATAACTTATACATGGTAAGATACCTGATGACATTATTTAATAATTTGTTTTTATAATAAAATTCTAAATCACACATGTAATTTTTTTTCCATATCAAACAATAAAGAAAAATCCTATTGTTAGAACTTAGAAGTAAAGGCCAAATAGTTTTTTTTCCATTTCTGTTATAAATGGAACATGTATTATTAAATCAAGTAGGGTCTATCATATAAAAGTGACTCAAATACTTATTAACAATAAATTTACAATTTATACTTAAAAAGACGTTATAGATTTATAATTTTGTCTATTTATAGAGTAGCTTGGGTTGTTGGCTATTATTTTTTGTATACATATTTATATTTATTTATTTTTATAACTAATTAGAGCGACATTGAATTCATTAAATTTATTTATAATAAAAATTATTTATTTATATAAGTGTTTAATGATAAATTAAGTACATTTATCTTTTCTTTCCTTTCACTTTTCCTCTAATACTAAATAATAAAAAATTAATTTTTTCAATTTTTCATTCATCATACCAAACACAAAAAAGGGAAAGTGTTTCTCTTTCTTTCAAGGATAGAAAATATATACTTCACACTTTTTCATTCTTCTAATTTTTCATTTCAAGTACCAAACAGAACATAAGTTAAGGATCGAATTGAGCACAGTATGTCAACTCCTATTTTCGTAGACTGTTCATCTGTGGACCAAAGCTGAAGTTGGCTAAAAAAGAAAACTACAGGAGAGACGTGGAAGAAGCTAGCTAGTAAATTGGCTGAGACAAATGGTGATTATATAACCAATGGATTGAACACACACTAGTATTGGAATAGTGATGGTCACCAAGGCTACCAAGGAAGCTGACAGATTAAGCAAGTTATTGGAGCACTGTATTATAGTGCCAAAATAGAAAACAGTGTCCTCTCTTTACGTACTAAGGTAAAATTATTTGATTTTTTTAAATTTCAAAATGACGAGAATCTCGGACATTATATAGGTAGTTTTGGCAAGAAAGACTTCCATTTCTTGGACGAGCTCGTTAATTTATCGAAATGTCACTTTGTACAATAGGATTTAGAATTTGATGTTTACCCAAATGTAAAATGTGCTCATGTATATCTTAACAAACAAAAACTCTTAACATAATAGTTTCGAAAAGGGGGTTAAAATATGATCCGCCTTATTAACACAACATGAATACGATTTAAAATTAGAAGGTTTGAGTCTTCTTTAAATCACTCATTTTGTAAACGAGTCGATCTGACACGACACGATTAATAAACGAATTGGATATTAGTGAAGTCAATCTAAATAAATACATGATACGACACGTTTATATATTGGTTGTACATAATTTGTAGACAATTTGAACCCGATATAACACAATTTGTTAAACATGAATTAATAAATAAATTAAATATAGGTGATCTGATTTTTTACACAAACTCACTAAGACCTAATACAAATCTGAATAGGATGAGATAATAAAAATGTCAAGTTAGTGTCAAGACATCTAAATAACTAATTAAATAGGTTACACTAAATATATAAACCTAACACGGCACAACCTAACCAAGACTTTACATGGCTCAATAGTCAAAGTTACCCACAACTGCCTGGATTGAAAATCTCCATTCCCACAATCCAGTTGTGCATTCCAAACACACCCATTCGACCAATCTGCCACGTCCAGTTGCAACGTAGCTTGCAATTCCAGTATCTACAATTTTTCAATTAAGAACGCTATTGGAATGTAATTTGAAAACATAATAATTGTAACCATCGAATTATTAATGGGTTCCAGCTGAAACCCAATAATCAAAAAACGTCAATAGCAAAAAAAAAAAAAAAAAAAAACAATAATCATAAAACGTTAAGTTCTTAAATTATGTCTTAGTAATATTAGTATTTTTCGGAGGTACATTCTGCCATTCTAGTGGACGCCCGCTCTAATAAAACTTCCAGTTTCTTTATTGACAGAAAGCAATCTTTGTTGTATCTTTTCACCTTTTTCTTCTCTTTAATACTAGAAATTTCAATGGGTGGGCCTAAGTCTCTGGAAATCTATGACTAGGATCAACAATAATCAATTATTTACTCTTGAATAGTCTTTTTTTTTTCTTTCGAATAATCATTGTCCAGCGAATGCTTAATACCCCTGTCAACAAACATAAGTATGCTCGATAATAATATTGAAGCATCTGAAAGCAATGATCATCCATATTCGATTTCGAATTTCATAACTACGGCAGCTCTGTTTATTTGCACCAACCCTTTACTTAGCCGTCAACATCAATTCATAATCTGCCAGTTTTGGCCTGATTTTTTGTTGGTTGTCTTCTGACCTTATGCTGCCAATTGAAAATACGACCGCGAGACGAGAATCTGTAAATGGAGTGAATACAGAAACAGGGGTTGCATTCATAGAGAACCAAGTGTTTGGGACCTCGTCTTGGGTGTATGTGTCTGCACAAATTTCCGATGATCAGGACATAAATTTTAGGTCCACTTGAAAGTTCTTAGTCATTTTGCCATCAGCTTCAATAAGAGATGTTTCCATTTCTCCACCTTGACTTCTACTAGCACTCTTCTTGGCTCTATTTGGAACCAAAGAATTTGATGTTGGTTTACTTTTTGGAACCAGAATTTGATAAATTGGCTGAATTTGAGTTCACCTAACATTTGTAAATGAGTTCACCTAGTTTCCTCAATACTTTCTGATTCAACAGTTGCATAATGAGGCCACTCTTCACCTTCACCTTCCTCTATGCTTTGATCTGTTCTTCAACCTTGTTGGAACTTTCAGTTGCAGCAGATACAATTATTCCAGGCCAAGTCCTTACTGATGGCGAGACTATAGTTTCATCCAACCAAAGATTCGAGCTTGGCTTCTTCTCTCCTGGCAGGTCCAAAAACCGGTACCTAGGAATATGGTACAAAACAACTCCGGATATTGTTGTGTGGATTGCAAATAGAAACAACCCGATTACAGATTCACAGGGAATCTTAACAATCAGCAGCGATGGAACGCTTGCTCTTCTCAATGGAACCCAAAGCACTGTCTGGTTTGCAAAGTTGTCGAAAACAGCAGCAAGTCCAGTTGCACAGCTCTTGGGTACTGGAAACTTAGTTCTTACAGGCAAGGCAAGCGCGAGTTCTGAAAGCTATATGTGGCAGAGTTTTGATTTCCCAACTGACACTCGGTTGCCAGGAATGAAGATGGGGGAGAATTTTGATACTGGTCTAGTCCAATATTTGACATCATGGAAAAGTGCCGAGGATCCATCCCTTGGAGACTTCACCTACAAAATTGATAACCATGGATTGCCTCAAATAGTTCTTAGAATGGGATCACTGAAACAGTACCGTAGTGGGCCGTGGAATGGAGTTCGGTTCAGTGGTCACCCCCTGCCCATGTATCCAGGTTTTAACCCGATATTCGACTTTAATGGAAATAGTTTGAATTCTATCTCTGACAGTTACAACATCCCAGTTATTACAAGAGTAACTCTGGTTCAATCAGGCTCTCTCCATCGCTATGTAATGGATGAAACGGGCACTAAATGGACTCTAGTTTTCACAACACCAGGTGATCCATGTGACAGTTATGGGAAATGCGGTCCCAATGGTATTTGCAGAATTAACAAAACTCCAAACTGCGATTGTTTGAAGGGATTCGCTCCAAAATCTCAACAAGATTGGGAAATGCTTGTATGGTCCAGTGGATGCGTAAGAAAGATAGCATTAGATTGCCAGAGTGGAGAAGGATTTCAAAAGGTTGCGGCAGTAAAGCTGCCTGACTTGTTGGAGTTCCAGCTTAACACTAGTATGAGCCTCGTTGAGTGCAGCGCAGAGTGCTTAAAAAACTGTTCTTGCACTGCTTATGCTAATGCATTCGTTACTGGAGGTGGCAGTGGCTGTTTGATGTGGTTCGGTAATCTGATGGACATAAGGGAGTTAGTTGTAGAAGGTAGTGAGCAAGATATCTATTTGCGCTTGGCAGCTTCAGAAATAGGTATGTGCCTTCCCTTGGTATGCGTCATAGCTTTAGTTTAGACTCTCAAATCTTTAGTTGTTTAGCCAGACCACCCAAGGGATTACCGAGTGAACAAAGATAGAGGGTAGCGTACCTCGTCAAGCAGAGACAGGAAGTTCAATTTGCCACTAGATCTGTAAATCAACTTACGATCAGCGTTGCATGTTAATTTTCATGAGGTTCAAACAAAACAGCTGGAATTTCTAATGACAAATAAACTTGTCAATAATTCAGACATGCAGGAAACATTGTAGCACAGTTCTTAGAGAAACAGGCAATTTGAAGCAAATATTAATATTTTTCAACATGCACTATTTGTAGAGTACCTCGGTCATTCCAAGGAGAAGAAGAAAAGACTTACAAAGATCCTAGTGGTATTGGCCATTTCAGGGCTACTTCTCTTGTCTGTGGTGTGCGTGTTCATATTCATGAAATTAATAGCAAAGAGAAGAGGTAAGAATGCTGATTTGTTTACAATCTTTGAATGGAAGTCATATTATCAAGCTCAAGTGTTAAAATGGTAAATTATGTCTGGAAGACTTGTTTAAAATCTTAGTCAATCAAATTCTCAGCTCAGAAAAGGAAGAACAAAGACATAGAATTGCCTTTGTTTGGTTTGGCAACAATTTCCACTGCAACAAATAACTTTTCTCATGCAAACCTGATCGGAAAAGGTGGCTTTGGTCCAGTTTATAAGGTAACATTGGATATATTCAGTTCTTTTTTTCTTTTAATCTGGATGTAAGCAAAATATTTTTTTGTATAATTGTGCATCTTATATATGAGACCCACAGGGCCAGTTATCAACCGAACAAGAGATAGCAGTGAAAAGACTGTCTAAGGATTCAGGACAAGGTCTCGAAGAGTTTAAAAATGAAGTTGTTTTGTTTGCCAAACTCCAACATAGAAATCTTGTCAGGCTTTTGGGATGCTGCATTCATGGAGAAGAGAGGATGTTAATCTATGAGTACATGCACAACAAAAGCTTGGATTATTTTATTTTTGGTTTGAGCCTTGAAATCCTCTATCTCTTGATTTAGTTCCTTGGTTACATGCTTGTCGATTTAGCATCTGAACAGAGTCATCCACTTGGTTTTAATTTGGAATCTTCTGATCCTTGTAATTACAAATGGCGGACATTGTGCAGATAAGAGTAGAAGTGCGTTGTTGGCTTGGCCAAAGCGTTTTGACATAGTTATGGGGATTGCACGAGGGCTTCTCTATCTCCATCAAGATTCTAGATTGAGAATTATTCACAGGGATCTCAAAGTAAGCAATATTTTACTCGACAGGGATCTCATTCCCAAAATTTCAGACTTTGGCTTAGCAAGGATTTTCGGAGGTGATCAAATTTTTGCAAAAACGAAAAGAGTTATTGGTACATAGTAAGTTCTACTCACTTAAACTCAATTATTGTGTTCATAATTTAGAGGAGCTTATAATTGATAAGTTCATGCAGTGGCTATATGTCTCCAGAGTACGCAATTGATGGGAAATTCTCTGTGAAGTCCGATGTTTTCAGCCTGGGTGTGCTTATGTTAGAGATAGTAAGTGGACAAAGGAACAGAGGTTTTCATCATCCGGATCACCACCACAACCTTCTGGGGCATGTAAGTACTACAAAGGATGCTTCTTTTCTCTTTCTCTCTCTTCGCCCGTTCTCTCTGAGTTTGCATTTTACTCCTCATGGATTTTCCATGTGTAAGCTCACTTGCTGAGCCAATGAAAGAAAAAAAAACACAGTCACTTCATTCTTGCAATTGTTTTAGGCTTGGTTGCTATGGAATCAAGACAGGGCTTTGGAGCTAATGGATGCTTGCCTGAGGAACTCATGTGTGGAGTCTCAAGTGCAGAGGTGTATCCAAGTGGGACTATTGTGTGTTCAACAGCATCCACAAGACAGGCCAACAATGTCATCCATAGTTTTTATGATGGGTAGCGAGGGATCAATGTTGCCTAAACCTAAACAGCCTGGTTTTTTCTCAGGAAGGAGTTCCATTGACACTGATGCAGCAGCAAAAAGTGAAGAACTTCAAACAAAAGTGCCAGAAACTATAACAATACTACAAGCTCGGTAGAGGATTCATAATGGAACTGAATGTTAGCAATTTAGACCTAGTTGTTGTGTTTATAGGTGATGTGAGTCCATCTTTAGAATCTTTTTGGATGTTCTTTTATTATTTGGATTCACCTGGCTAAAGGTTTACTTGTGTAATTTGTTTCTTGGTGAAAATTAAAGGGAAAAGAGGAGCAGGGGCCAGAGCCAAGGTGCAAGAGTATTTCTGAATAGACTGCTGTTGTGTGTTTGAGAGCACTTGGAATTCTACCACTGGCAGCTTTCAGAAGCTCAACGATTAGGGTGAATCCCAGCATTAATACAAACAGGCCAATTTCTTGATCTTAGGGAAGGCCAAAACTTTTTAATAAAGCCCTTTCTCCAAAGATAAGAAAACAACAAACCCTCTAGATATTCTAAAATTAAAGTCAGCCCAACACCATAAGCTCTTATAAATGACTAACATAATGCTTTATTTGAAACGTCATCACCTTCCTCTGGCTTATCACAGGCAGTCTGTTCAAGGATTCAAACTCAACGATAGCAACTAAACACAAGGGTTGTGCTCGTTGCGGGACTTAACCCAACACCTTACGTCACAAACTGACAACAGCCATGCACCATTTTCTTTCTCCCCATGGAAGATGAAACTGTCTGGGAGTCCGACGTTCCCCCAATATCAAGAAAGAGTTTTTGGGCTTTTTATGTGTAGTTTTGGCAAGAAAGAGTTCCATAGCTTGGATGAACTCTGGAATTGATTGACATGTCACTTTGTACAATCGGGTTTATAATTTGTTGCCTACCCAAAGAGTAAAAAGCAAAATTGGGTAATGCTCATAGCATAATATAGTTACGCCACTGCCAAGCATTGATCATAGATAGTTGGGTTCAGATTTCTCAACCATGGCAGCTTTGTTTCTGGGACACCAATCAACTTACTTTGCCCTCACCATCAAATCATTATCCGTTAATTTTTCACCAATTCAGATTGATTATTCCATACATTTCAATTCATTGCCTAAAAACTAGGATTAACTATGGCCGATGTGACAACCATCAATGGAGTTACCGACGATCCTAAAGGTTGATTTCAAACACAGAGGCCACACCGATTCGAAGAACTCTTCCATTATGAGATGAATTGGTTATTGCAATTGAGGGAAGTGCCCAAGGGGGAGGAATATTGGGGATTTTGAGAGGAGAATTGGGAGAGAGAAAGGAAATAAGGGTATTGAAAGGACTCTCTATTATTTTTTCATACAATTTCACTTAATGGTAGATCATATACCGTATATTCATGTGCGATCTATTATTTCTATGTGATTCCTCATATATAAACGGTGAATGATCTACTATTAAGTAAAATTATGTAGAAAAATAATGGAGAGGATCTAGAAGGGGACAAACTGTTGCTATATTTGGGGTTGTGTTCTACTTTTGGGGCATGTTTGGTCTATGGGTTTAGGTGGGTTTCATAGGGTGAATTTATCAAAATAGTTCAATGTATCACTTTATTCCTTGTTTGGTTGCAAATTTCAGGCTCGGGATTTGAATCTTGACCTATAACAAGCCCGCAAATAAAACTCATGTATAAGAGTTTCAACAATCCGGCCATAGAGTGGGTGGGTTTAAGCAATTTCATAGCAAATAACTTGATTAGTCCGTAAGTCTCATGTGTATTTGTGTTATTTATCAAATATGAGATTGAAAATAATACATAAATCTAATACGATCCCTATCTTAAAAATCATCAAAATAGCTCTTGAATGCGCTAGAAACAAGTGGTTGATCCGGTGGGAAAAAGTGGTTGAAAAGTGGGAAAGGAAGCTAAAATGCAGAAAATTCACAGGTTAGAATTGTTTTTCCTATGTTTAACCTTTTATAGGTGGTATGTTTTTTTTAAAACATCTCTAACTTTGACTTAAATTTAAATTTGAGTAAAAAAACTCAAAAAAATTTATTCTAACCTTTGTCTCAAACTTATACAAAATCAAGAGAGACTCATTTTTTAATTCAAATTAAAGGAGACTCATTTTTTTATTCAAGTCAAAATAGACTCAAATTCTTACCTAAATCTTTAATAGTGATTTCTCATCATCTTTTAAATATCCAATGGTTATTTTTACTTTCTTTTAAATTTGAATTTATCCTCATTTAAATTTAAATTTCTCGTTCTTTAAATTTAAGTTTGTCTATTGAAACTTTTTGTATCGAATCAAGTTTTTTACTTAAATGTTAATTTAAATTTAAATAAAAAAATTGACTCATAGTTGGAGATAGCCTTAGAGTTTGTTCTTTAGCCATTAATCTTTTTTTTTTGGGTAAATTATATCCACACCTCCTGAACTTTGTCACTAAAACACAGATTCTCTCAGGTATTATATATTACACTGATACCCCTGTTAGTCATTGCTAACTAACACAGCTAACAAAAATTTTAAAAGGACTATTTTGCCCTTATAGAAAATAAAAAAAAAACCTAAGTCAAACCCACATACCAGACCATAGTCATACCGACCCGAATACTTCTCCCTTGCTTCCACTGATGCCTTCAATGCACATAACCTCTTTTCTCTCTTTCTCCATTACTCACCACCAACCCTTGCCACTCATTCTCATTTCGGTCACCATTCTCCTCTATACCTAAGCTTATAACTCACCCACACCTATATCTTTTCCTACTGTACTCCTCATTGTTCTCTGTATCTCTCTCTCTGTCTATGTGCGCTCTATCGCTAATCGTTGCTGCACCACCATGGTCACCATCAAACCCACCACTACACTATAAAATCCATATCACCAAGGTATCAATTTTGCCACTCCTGTCCTTGTCAAATCTCTCAAATATAGCCATCAAATTCTGTGAACTGTAAAAAACTACAGTGGATTCCTTTGGCCCGATCTTTCTAGTGTTGGTATTGGTGAAGAGATACATGGGAAGATGAATAGTCCTAAGGTTAAAACTTTGATTATAAGATGACAAAGCCCCTTGTAACTCCTTATCATCTCTAAACATATTTCCATCTTGATCGGCGATCTGAAAATAGGTAATTACATTGGAATCAATGTTGGAAGGAAAAGTCGACAGAACAAGAGAAACGAAGGGTTGTCGTATGGCACCACAGAGGAGGATACCCAAAAGCCGAGGACAGTGGTGGTGAAGCACTACATCCAGTGAAGGGTTTGTTTTCCTTTGGGTGTTTATTCAGATTGCCATCGTATGAGGCTGAAGGGATGACAACTATGGCGTAGGGTGATTGGCCTGAGATGGTGGTGGGGGCGACGTATGGTTGGTGGTACCCCTTTAGCTCATTGGCGGCATTGGCATGTGGCTGCCTTGCCCAAAGGCATCCATGCCTTAGCCAAATTAGATTATACATATGTGAAGTATACTATTGTGCAATGTTGGCAGAAGCCCCATGCATGGCTGAGGGAGGCATCTCATGCATGAGCATGTGGGCACAAGAAAGCATGCAAGTAAGGTAGCCAAGTGGATTGAATTATGGGGCAATGCTGACTTGGGGAACTAAGCCATGAGCTGGACATGGCTACGCACGAATGCAAGACAATCAGATGATGAGGGCTCATGAGAAAGGCACATGCACAACATGTGAAGACGTTTTGGCATGTACACTGCAGATGGTGGCAGTTCTGTGCAGTTGCTAGTAGGTGCACAACATGAAGAAGTCTCTGTTATGTGCACACAAGATGCAGGAAAGTTGCAGGCAGTTGTTGGCTAGGTCAGCCAACAGTTGCAACTGCCTCTGCCATGACCAACACAATGGAGGGAGTGGTTGAAGGTGGTTAACCATTCTCAGCAGGCTTGTGTGTGGATTTGAATTGTTATGCAGTTGCCTAGGCGGTTGAGCTTGTAACCGCCACCCTAAATATTATAAATAGGCATGTCTGGGTCTGCAGTGCAACCAAGAGAGTTGGACACATTTTTGTAAGTAGACCCAAGGTTGAGTTCCCTTATACTTTGTTGAGAAAGAAAGGTTTGACCAATTGGCCTGTAAAGTTTGTGTGATGTGTGTGAGTTTGCTTGCTTGACATTACTCTGTTTGCGTGTGCATTTTTGTGAGCGTTTTGAGTGCTTGGCTGAGACTGAGTGTAGGATCTCAGTGCCATCACAAGGTTGAAATTTGGTGAGAAACTTGACCATATGAAAATTGGTATCAGAACTTCAGTTTGTGACCATGGCTAGTGAAAATGCTACTGAGTTACGAGAACGTGTGACCTGTCTCGAAGATTTTTTGGGCACCCCTAAAAGTGATGCTGTAATTAGCATGGTTGTGCAGATGGAGCAACACACTATTTAGATTGTTGGTTTATAGATGACTTTTGATAGCTATGTGGCCAACACCGATGCGAAACTTACAACGATGATGGAGGACATTCTATCCCTCACTAAAGCTATCAAAACCAATCTGAAGGAACTTGAAGATGAAATGTCCCTGATGACGAGACGTCTTCAAAAATCAAAGTCTCAAAACCAAAGACCTTCAGAGACACTCGAAGCACTAAGGATCTGAAAAATTTATTGTGGGACATGGAGCAGAACTTTAAAGCTGCCCATGTGCCTATTGAAGAGAAAGTGACTATTACTAATCTGTATCTTTCTGGTGATGCCAAGTTGTGGTGGCAGACCTAGAATGAGGATGATGCATCTGTTGGGTGTCCAAAGATTGAGGCATGAGAAACACTAAAAAAGGAATTGAAGGATCAATTCCTCCTTAGCAATACGATCTAGATTGCTAGCGATTTGCTCAAGATATAAAAGCACATTGGAACAATTCATGATTACATAAAGGAGTTTAGTTCATTGATGCTGGACATCAAGAACGTGTCAAAGGAAGACAAAATCTTCAACTTCATGTCTGGGCTGCAAGGTTGGGCACAAGTCGAGTTACGTACTGCCATCGCTGCTGTAGACAGCCTTGCTATCTTTAAAATGGGCGGTAGTCAAGGCCTTTTTGAGAAGAAAAAGAAGGATGGTGGCGGCTGGAAAGAAAAAGATGGCAC